TAATAAAATTATGTTTATGTCCGTTTATAAATCCGGCTTAATATTTTGGTTTTTGCGATGTTGATTTTTGGATCCAATCGACTTTCTTCAACTGATATATTGTTAAGCGGGCGCTGTAGGCATTAAGGAGCCTACGCAATAATTACTGTGTCAACTGTTTATCTTAAATTAAATTATTCACTTAACATTCACTTATTTCATCTTCCGAGCCTTTAGGTGCGTTTTGGAATAAAATTTAAGAGTACGTATTTAATAGTACATTACGAAAACCTGACTGACTCCACGTTTAATCAGAATAGATTTTTTTAGTGACTTTTCAAACTGTAATGTTGCTACCTGCTGCTCATACAGGTACTGAGTGATTTTAAGAGTTTGGGAGTCTAATCCTTTTCTTTCTAAAATATTTAATAGCGCACTATATGTTACACAGTCAAATGCTTTAGAGCAATCTATGAAGCATAGAGATACTTCTTTCCGCTGTCTCAGCACTTTTGCAGCCTGACTGTAAGCGCAACCAAAGTATCTCTGGTTCCCAATCTTCTTAAAAGCCTCTATTTAGTTTACTCAGATCTTGTTGAGAAACAACTTTAATACTTGACTCATTAGGTTAAATAGTCGAAAATCCAGCTGCTTTACCGTTTTTTATTCCCCTCACAACCATCTCTATTTCTGAGATAATTATACTTTTTTCTGTCATATCATATTACTTTTTCTTTTTTCATCGACCCCATTTCTGTCTGATGTTGGTTAAGGAAAGGGGAACAATGTCATCAAAAACATCAGAAGTTTACTTTGTAAATAGTTCTTCTATTTTTTCTATATCTTATTATAGTAATTTATTAACTTTGTCTTTGTTGGGGATTTACGGTTTCCTACAATTTGCTTAACTTTTTGTGGATGTTAAGTAGATCATGTTTTTGGTATATCTCCTCGCTTCTCTTCGCCATCCATGAATCCTTGGCACATTTAATTTTTGTTCTGATAAGTTTTTGAGTTTGCACTTTTCTGTCTGTTTTTAAATTGTCACAGTTGTTTCATTCAGTCTAATATATATATATATATTATTCATTCCTTATGCAGTTTCTTGATTCTTGATATTTGTAGATATTAGATGCTCTCGCGCGTTCAGAATTGCACTTTCAATCCGACTCCGTGGTCTATAATGTCCTTAGTAGTGTATTCCGCCTCTTGATTATTTTAGATTTTAATTATCTGATCATTAAGTTTGTATTCCGATGATGTTGCTCGTATTTTAAAATTATTAGGCCTTCTTAATATTTTATTTTTAAAGTTCTTCAATATCCTGCATTTGGACAGGTTACAATACCATATCTGCTACAGGTTTTTTAGCTTCCGCTCCCAAGCAACTTTCTACACTGCAAATGCTATCCTTGTATCTTTTTTGTTTATTTGACTATGTATATTTCAAGGAAACTTTCAATAAGTATATTAGTTTGTGAATAAATCAAAACCTAGTTTTCTAAATGGTGTCAAATTTGTTTCTGAAATAATCTACTTTTAAAAATGTGTTCTTTATTTCCCGAAAGTAATATATTAGCACTATCAGTGGCGCGAAGAAGAACGAATGAAGAAATAATGCAAATATATGGACAACCAAAAATAACAAGACTCGCGAAAATTCAAAGATTAAGATGGCTCGGGTATATAGCAAGAATGAAGGAAGAGTTCCCAATGAATTAATAAACACGGAGGCTGGTACAAAAAGAAAAAGAGGCCGCCCCCGAAGAAAATGGCTGGAGTCGGCAAAAGAAGATCTGAAGTCGCTGCAGGTACAAGATTGGAAAAACTTAGCACAAGATAGAAAGAAATGGAAGAAAACCGTTGAAGCCTTGGGCCTTTGAGGCCTGTTGAGCTGAACTATATATATATATATATATATATATATATATATATATATATATATATATATATATATATATATCAGTGGAGCTACAGCCCTCGTTGAGCCTCGACCTTCCCCAGTATATTTCGATAATCGTTTCTGTTCATCGACAACCGTTGTTAGTTAGCTACGCCAATCTTCCTCGTCCACACCATCCGTCCATCTCATTCTTTTTCTACCTCTACTCCTATTTTCTACTGATGCCGCTAGTGGGGTTTATCTGGGCGGGTAATTTTCATTGCAGCAGACGATTTGCGTATGTTTGGATATGGTCCATGTTTCTGTTCCATATTTTAGCACTGCTAGGATAAGTGTTCTATATATTGTTAATTTGGTTTTTTGGCTTAAATTTCTGTTTTTATCTGCTTATTTAATCAAAAATAACATTTGTTCGCTATTAGTACCCTTCGTTTTACTTCTTCAGATGTATCATTATGGCTATGTTACGAAAGTAATATATTTAAGTGTTAAAAAATGTAACCCTGGGACAGAATAGATATATTAAATTAAAAGTAGACAATATTTGACAAATATTTTATTTAGTTATATATCTCTATAAAAATAAAAAAATAAAAGCATTGATGAATACATTGTTGCATATAAATAAATAAATATGGTTCTGAAAATTGCGATCTTAATACTTACTGTAGATCCACTTTGTATACGATAAATAAAGCAGATTCCAATAAATATGGTAGATAAATTAAGTGAATGAAATATTATAGAAATACTATAAATACTGTTATTTTAATTACTATGAAGCTTTAACACAGTGTCGGCTGTCAAATAATAATCATATTAAAGCATTTTTTCCAAAAATATATGCATGTTTAGGATCTTATTCAATACAAGAAAATAATATTTTAAATGTACGCTTTGATATTTTCGTATTTAGATTTCAGCATATTTGAATGCCCTATTTATGTAAAAATGATTTTAATTTCTAAAAAATATATTTAAGACAATTAAGATTGGCTTTAAAAAACAACGCGACTTTATTTTTAATATATTTTTAAATATCCTTTGTTGATATATCAATTATAAAGAATATACATTTTTATTAGTAAATTGTAGAATAATCAGTCTGTGATTTGTAATAAAATTGACGGCAAAATAAAAGGTTTTATTAAAAAAATATATTACAGAAGATTTCAGAAATGTTATCGATCTTTGGGAAATGCGATTTCCCAAAGGTGCACCCATGAGTGAAAAAAAAAGAGAATTATAAAGTCTTACTAAAATGATCTAAAAGATTTTTAAAAATGTATAAAATTATTTATAAAAATTATTCCATCCAAATCTCGCCGGCTTGACGGCTCGGCTGGCTGGCACGGACTTATAGAAGTGTGCAGAATACGAGGTTCATGTTTGAACCCGGGCCCAGTCAAAAATTTCAACTTTAAATATAGCAGTTAAAATGGTAAGTGGATTTCCGATTTAGAATTTGCATTTTATTGGACTTTATTAACATTGCACAATCTATGTTTCATATACTTCACTGAACTCAGTCCAGTCTAGGAAATTTACTAACTAATATTGTGTTATGTTGGTCAAATTTTGACTTCAATAAAACAAAGACCTAATGTTTATTTTTAAACTGTTATAGTCGTTTATATATTAGTATGTATTTACAAATAAAATGTTTTTTACAGTACAATAAACACTAAGTTAATTTCAGCTATTAATAATGGGCGTAGGAATTTTTATACTGTATGTTTCCGACAATGACTCTGTCAAAATATTGTCAAGCTCAGTGAATCCACTATATCCAATCACGACCATAAAATTATGTTGTTGATAATTCCATTGTAAATCATGATGAAAGATCAGGAAAAATTCCCGACGATACTATTCCGTCACAATAAGTGGTCTAAAATTTAGTTTAGTCTACTCTCAATACTGACATCAAGTAATATTAATTTTCTATACCGCTAAATTATAGGAATATATTATTTTACGTTAAAATTAACATGTATCTTCGATACATGTGAATTATACCTTTGTGTTTCGAAAACGAGTTTTTAAAAATTAATTTATTTTGAAAATACAAATTTACAAATTATCTTAACAAACAAAAGTTTACAGACAAAAGTTAAAAGCAAAAAGTTAAGTAGCAAAAGTTGAAGCAAAAGTTATCTTAATTGAAATATTCCTCTATTTATAATATAGTATTGCGTAGTTCCTATTGTCCTACAATGTGCAGATTCTGTGGAATCCAGTGGCCTAACTTGTGTTTGGTTTTTAGTTTATTAATTTAGTAATGTTGGTAACCATTCCTATTACATCCTACTTCGAAATTTTGATTTGATTTCATCTGATTGACAGATTTTATCAAAAATAAAAAGTTTTCACATTCACAAGGTATTTCATAAATACAAACCTTTGTTTTTTCTTGTCCGTGATTGGATTTAGTCTGAGACAACATAGGTATTAATGTATTTATTGTTTTAAATGTTGTATTTTTTATTTTGTAAATATCAACAATATAATATTATTAACGCAATAATCCTTTTGTGACGTGTGTCTTGAGTAAATGTCTTACTAACTAAGTTAAGGCTTAATAAACAACCAATATAGTCTTTACAGAGAATCGCTTATTATATGCAAACGACTAAGGCACTTAGACCAGACGACTACTGATCCGATGAATATAAAAATTACTTGTTTCTTATTAAAAAAATTCCCGTGCCCGACCAGATTTGAACCCACGAGTCACTGAGTCTTCACTCGGTGAAAACCCTGAGGCTCTGGCATTACATTGCCGAGACGCTTAATTTTATATTTGTTTCTTATATTAAGGATCGATTGTTCGAACGCTAATCAAAACTTGATTGTAATCAAATATTTAATTAGAATCAAATACGCCACAGCAGCTGCTTGAATTGTAAATAAAAACTGACATAACCCCAAAATGTTACGTACTTGATTTCAATTAAATATTTGATTACAATCAAGCTTTGATTAGCGTTCGAACAAATATTGGCCCTAAGTATCTTTGGGTTTTCCCCATATTGTTTTTCTCGCATGTAGTTTACCTACGATATTGATATATTTCTTGAATCATTTCTTATAAATTTTTCAGCATATTTTTTCTATTCTGTAAAATTCTTTATTGCTTAATGATTAACATTAAAATAGACATTAACATAGTTTAGAAGTATAAAAAATAAAAATTTGATGTGTGGATCTTGAGAATTAACTAAATGTTAGAAAGAATACTTCCTAAGTCGCAATGGAATTTAAATGGAACACTGGAATGAATATTTTTTGGATAAATGCTTTAATAGATTCTTCATGCCAATATTAAAACTGTAGCTTATATTCACTATATGTTCAACCCTTTATGAATATAAACTCGAATTAAAATGCGCCAAAATAATCAAACTATGTCCATGTGTTTTGATCTTTTACCATCTTAAAGGTGAATTTTCAGCGTGAGGATATCGATTGGGGCTGAAATTAGAAATAAAAAACAATTTTAATATAGAAATTATAACTGTTTTTTTTTAATAAAAAATATTATACGTATTATACCGTTACTTTGGCAGAAAATCATTTTGAAAAATACTGGATTAGACAAAAAACTATTTACAAAATTAGCCCGAGTAATCAATAAAAAGTTATTCCCCGATTTTCTAATTTCGATTCCACATTCCATCTATTCTTGTATATTCTGGTTTTATCCATGATCTTGTCTTCTTTTAATATATTGATCTTATTATTTTTCTTAGTATTTTTTAAGTGAATCTATTCTTAGCATTACAATCAGGAGATCAAAATAAGAATAGAAAAGGCTAACAAAATGAGAAGAGTGCTATGTACCAGGGATTTAAAACTGGAACTAAGAGTCAGGTTGGCGAGGTGCTATGTTTTTTCGACTTTATTTTATGGAATGGAATCTTGGAACTTGAATGCGACATCAATGAAAAAACTGGAATCATTCAAGCTGTGGGTGTACAGAAGAATTCTAAAAATATCGTGGACAGAACACGTCACAAACAAAGAGGTTCTGGGAAGGATGAATAAAGAAATGGAAATTTTAAATACAATAAAAACAAGAAAATTAGAATATCTCGGACTTATTACACGTGGAGGGAAATACACCTTGCTCCAACTAATTAGGCAGGGAAAGATCCAAGAAAAGAGAAGCATAGGGAGGCGTAGAATGCCATGGCTGCGCAACCTGAGAGATTGGTACGGATGTACATATGAACTGTTCATAGCAGCTTTCTCAAAAGTCCGAATAGCTATGATGATTGTCGACCTCCGCCGCGGAGATGGCACTTGGAGAAGTGAAGTGAAGAAATTTTTCGATAAAGAGGGAACATCCGACAACACCTTCTACTAAGCGATCACATGAGCGATTCGTCTAAAAGGAATTAACGCAACAGGTAGCAGATGGATAGACTGCAATTTGAGGAGCCATGAAAAATACGTAACGTTACTATCGTTAACAGGTAGCTAGACCAACCTCTAGCTACCTGTTAACGATACAGGTAGCTAGAGGTTGGTCGCAGGAGGGAGTCTTATCTTCTTTCTTTTGGAAGCTGGTCATGGAAGGCCTGATAGTTAGACTCAGCAACGACAAGCACTATGTTATGGGCTATGCAGATAAACTGATCACTTTAGCCTACGGAAAATTTAATGGCACAGTCTTTTTTTTTTCGGAAACCATCTGTAGATATAATCGGTCGTACTGCAAGCAAAGAGCTTATTGCACATATTCCATTCGCCTTATCTACATGATCAAGTTTTAGTGTTAACAACTCCTTACGTAGCCGGTACCGACGGCTTTACATGCCCTCTGAAATACGGTGGCGGCTCAGTTAAATTAGACATTGAAAAATTTCTCCGACGTGGTACGTCAGTATCTAGCCACTGAGCTATGGCCGCCACTTAATTTTAGTTACAATAAATTGTAACTTCTCTTCTCCAAAACTAAATTGTATACATATAACTCTGGTGAGTAAAGTAAACTATATTTGGGTAATATTACACTCGAGGCTTATTTGGAATTAGGAGATAAAACAAAAATATAAGAGAGCAATAGCTAAGTTAATGGTAACCAGACGCACTTTCATGAAATGTGGGATTTTAAAACAGACATGTCATATTGGATTTATAACATGGTGGTAAAATCAGCAATTACATTTGCATCAATGGCATGGTGGCTGAAGATGAGCAAAAAATTGTTATTCTCAAACTAAGCAAGATGCAAAAATGTGAATGTATTGGAATAACAGAAGGGCTATGAAGGGTACACCAAGAGCAGCTATTGAGGCCTTACTGGACGTAACGGTTAATCAGAACATACCAATAAATAACATCATAAACAAAATCGTATATACCGAACCGATAATGATTTCTGACCATATGGTAACCAAATATAAACGGGGAGGACAAAGGAACCATCATTAAAGGAGAATACTTAAATAACCTTCGCTTTGCGAATTACGTAGTGTTCGGGTGACCTAAAAGAATTTAAATACATACTGAAAGAACTTATTTCAGCAACAGCAAATGATTTATTGAAAATTAATGGAAGCAAAACCAAAATGATGACCAGCATAGTGATAATCAGGGCTGGGCTGCCTACGGCAAATTAAGATACATTGTTAAATCGGAAGTGCCCATCAGCATCAAAAGAAGGGCGTTCAACTAGTATTTCTTGCCAGTCCTTACATATGGAGCCGAAAATCTTACCCTTACCAAAAAACAGCCAGGCAGTAATAACCCAAAGAAGAATGGAACACGCGATGCTTGACCTAACACTGAGAGACAGGGTAAGAAACGAGGAGATACGTAAAAAATAAAAGGTGGATGATGTTCTCGAACGCATTACAAGGCTTAAATGGAGATTGGCGGAACATGTATTACGATTGCAGGATGGGAGATAGACAAGGAAGATTCTGGAATGGAGGCCAAAGAGTGGTCAACTGTCAACTGTCAAACAGAGGCTGTATGATGATCAAAGCGACTACAGATCATGTTTATATCTTTTTGATGCAAGGAACGATCCAAGAAAGAAAAACGCGGACAAACACAGAATATTCTGACTTAAGAATCAAAGAGAATCGTTGGGTTGCAGCTTGGAGATTTCCAACCTCCGATATGAGGAGTAACCTGAAGAAGATGGTCATTTAGAGAAAGTACAAAAATAAAATTAGGATGTATTCGCCTTTTGCTAACCTTTGTATTAGGTCAATGTAAGACAATGATTTTAATTTATCATATTTACCGTATTAAATGCACTATGTATAACATAAATCAGTTACCTGCTGTTAATTATTGTTATATTTTGCGGATTGACCAATGGCTGTAGTTTCTCTATAAATCTTTTATAATTCCTATCTAATTCTCTTTGGTAGTCTCTTTGGTCTGGTCCAATTAAATTCTTATTCTTTTTTAATGCGTCATGACACCTAAAAGTATAAAAAAGCATTTATTTTTATAGACATAAAAAAGCGTAAAAGACTTTTGGGGACAGAAGCAGGAGATACTATTGATTTTAGAAAATTAAATATTAACTAAACAAAAATAATAATATATGAACAGGTTAATAAACTACAAAAAGAAACATACTACTAATTACAACGTATCTGTGAGACCTAAAAAATGAAAATATCTGCGCTAAAAATAAAAAACAGCTTTTATTAATCCATCAACATACAATGATATCAAAAATCTCATTAAATATCGTATAATAGAACAAATAAAACATTTTAAAATTTATGATGTGATCTGTTATAATTTATAATTATACATGCTATAATTATACATGGCATACTATGCCAACAATACATGTACAATTATGTCAGATTCATCAGGGGATCACTGAGTCCTCTATTATTCAAACTGATCATTGTTGAAATAATAAAAAAAAGTAAAAACTAAGAAAGGATATCAAATGGGAGAAAAACAACTTAAGCATAATCTGCTATTCAGACGTTGCAATACTAATCTCTCAAAGTAATAATGATTTACAATGTATGCCGCACCAACTTCATATAACCGCCAGAACACTTAATATGTTAATCATCCAAAACAAATGCATGGTTATAACAGCAAATCTACTAAGAAGTAAATTGGATCTGGAGGATCAGATAATGGAGATCAGAGAAGTGATGTAGTTTATATATCTAGGTATCAGACTATCTAGTTATGAAAGCTCGAAACAGAAGATCAAGTGAATAGAGCAAACAGAGTGACTAGAATTCAACATATCTTGGCGAATTCTCTATGTATTTCAATTTAGAAATCCGCAAATTGAAGAACTTTTAATATTTACAATTTTTATTTGTTTCTCTACAACATTTTTCTCTAAACTGCACAAGAAACATTTTATAGTCAAAAAAAATCACTTTTTAAGATTGTTTAAAACAAAAACAAAGCAAAATCAGCTGTATGTTTCACGGATTTTTCATCAGCTACCCCTCATATATCTCTAAGAACCTTCAAATATCTGTATAAGATTTTTACGTGAAATCAATGATTTTTATCCAGATAGACTGGTGTATTATAACCGTATTTAAAGAAAATATTTAAAAAGATAGCCTCCTACGATAATAAATGGATAATTCTAAGTCTAAATCTTGTCTTGTATTTATTCATATTATTATATTTATTTATTTATAATCATTTATTGAAAATCCCGAACTCCATATTACTCTCTGTGACATTGTGCACCTTAGTGATTTACAATGGAACTATAATTTACTATTTTTTATATACAGATTGAACCAAATTAAAACGGAACATACAATTTAATACATGTCTGTTTGAACTGCATTTAAAATAGTGGACCAATATAAAACTTGGACAAAAATAAATCCATACCTGGGTATAGACATTGTATAAAATATCGTTCAACTATCTGTCTCGCAACAAAGTTGTTTGCGTAAGACGGGTTTGTCTAAGGAGGTGATAATAGTTCAGGAATTGAAGCTCGAAAAAAGTTAAAACCTCGCAATTTTTTCGTCCTGCATGTATCCAGTTGAAATTTTAGCAGAAGGTAGGTAATAGCCCAAGGATCAAAATCTATATCGAACCGAAGTGCGCCGAAGGGTTTTAGGGGTGAAAACCACCCCTAATTCTCAAAAATTATAAAATAACATATTAAACCTGAATATGGGTAAGATTTGGTTAGAATTAATTAAATAATGATTATTTTATACTTTTGAATAGAGTTCCATCATATTTCAACCCTTAAAAAGCAACCCTTGTTAGAGATTAATGTAAAAAATTACTAATTCTAAAAAAATGATTTCGCCTTGTATCGATTTGGATAAAAATTTGGATTTAAGCTCAATTCACCCGCTGCTTTATAGTTTATGTCATGTCGACGAACCCTGATTGTTCTTAGTGGTGAAAACTACCCCTAATTGTCAAAAATTATAAAATAACATATTAAACCTGAATATGGGTAAAATTTGGTTTGAATTAATTAAATAATGATAGTTTTGTGCTTTTCAATAAAGTTTCATCATATTTCAACCCTTAAAAAGTGACCCTCATTAGAGATTAATATAAAAAAATTAGTAATGCGAAGAAAATGATTTCACCTTGAAACGACTTGCATAAAATTTTGGAATTAAGCTCAACTTACCCTCTGCTTTATAGTTTATGTCATGCTGATGAACCCTGATTGTTCTTAGGGGTGAAAACTACCCCTAATTTTCAAAAATTGTAAAATAATATTACAAATCCTAAGATGAGTGAATTTTGGTTTGGATTAGTTAAATAGTGAGTTTTTTATACTTTAAAATACAAAGTCATACATTTTCAACCCTTAAAAATCAATTGTTATGAGTGCTATAGGTGAAAACAATTTTTTGCTAAAATTTTGCAACTATTCAACTGTTGAAAATCACCTTTTACAACATTGAAGTTTTTATAAACTAATTTATAAGATATAAATTGAAAAAAGTAGAATTAAATACAAAAAAAATTATCAACATAAAAAGGCACCATATATTCTTATACATTTACATAAATAGTTGAAAATATTTACATTTATAGGTAAAACAATTATAATATTAATTTTATTCGTCATCAATTACATCTTCATCGTGATCTATGTCATCATCATCTTCCTTAATTATTGGTGGACTGTTATTGCACCCTTCACCTGAGCACCCAGAACAAGTAGAGTTACAGTATAAACCAACTTTTCTGCACCCATATGAAACGCCGCATCCTTTTTTGCATTGGCAAAAAATAATTTTCAAAAATTTATCGGGTGCAGGTTGTTTGTTCATGCGTACGGGTAATAACAAACCATCTTTGGAAAACCATCCCCAATCTGTTGCTCTGGTATTTTCATTGCCAAGCCATAGACATATGAGCAGATGTTTTATTCTGTTGTATGGGATTTCAAAATAAGAACGCTTAACATTTCGAATGTATAACGCCCCTCTAGCTAATATACCGGTTTTGTAGATTATTATGCTCCGAAATGTACTGTACTATACTAATGGAATTTTCCGGAAAAAAATTAACTGGTTTTTTTAACGTATTTCCTTTAATTTTTAACGATAGATGTTTCTTCAAAAACGATTTGTAGAGGTTTTTAATAGCTACAAGGATCTGTGAATTAAATCTTTTTGGAACCCTTGGTTTTTAAATGGGGTGAGTTTAAAGGGCTCGAAAAAGATGGTGCTTGATCGTAAATCGATGCTTTAAACGGCTATATCTCGCCAAATATTCATCGTACAACAAATCTAAATAAAGGATAATTTTCAGTCATTAAAAAAGCTACAATTCGGTAATTTTTATTTTTTTCATACATTCAGTATTTTCGGGCACATTTAAAAAAAGAAGGGTAAAAAATATGAAATTGTAAATCGTTTCTCGTTTTAAGCTGTACTTTTTCTAAAACTAAGCATTTTAAATGGGTCAAACTTCTTGGACGTATTAACAATACATCTACAAAGGGAATTGCAGAAGGGTGAAGATCGATTTTAATTATGGGGGTGGTAAGGGTGTTGTTTTCCTCGATTTTTTCGTAAAAAATGAGGTATTGACCTTATTTTTTATGATAGGTCTATTTGTGCTCTTTAAAAAAGGTTTTGTGAGTTTTCTTAAAAAAATGCATCATTTTCCCGATATTTGACTTTGAATGTTTCAAATTTGGCATTTGAAGAAAACCGCTGAACATTGATATTGTATTTGTAATTGTATTTGTCTTTTTAAAAGCTACAAATTTGTTCTCTATAATTTTTTTGATAAAATGCACCATTTTCGAGTTATTCGCGAAAAATCGATTAAAAACGTGGATTTTTTCGTCTAAAAGTTGTTACTTTCAATCGCGAATAACTTGAAAAATATCATTTTATAAAAAAAATGTATAGCACATTTTTTGTTTAGAATCACTTTTCTAATCGAAACCTGTAGTTAAAACGTAAAAAAAATTTTCACCCCGGAGATGGGGTGGCCACCACCCCCTAGGCTTTGGCGCACTTTGGTTCGATATAGATTTTGATCCATAGGCTATTACCTACCTTCTGTTAAATTTCAAGTCAATCCACGCCGCACGAAAAAATTGCGAGGTGAAATGCTACATTTCCTGGACTATAACTGGTTTGACAGCATAATCGTAGATTTATGTGTAGCTTTCAATTTTTATGAGTTCAAAATCCAGCAGCACGCTGAAGTATGGGATTTTTTATAATATAATTATTTGACAATCTTTTGTTGGCCAACCAGCTACAGCAGAATTGAGCCGAAATACATTATATTCCTATGTTCCGAATTTATTTCGTTCAATCTGTATACAAGGTTGGTATAAAAATCCCGTTATTCCTAGCATCCGTAGTTGTTTTAGATCCTGCAGGGGTAGATTTTGGATTATTTAATTTGCTATTTATTTACATTAACAAAGCTACGTAGCAACTTTTGATGCCGTATTATCTCAATACCTATAGCCCTCTCTTACTCTTTGGTTTTTTCAATACTCACCTCAAAACATTATATGCGCAAAAAGAAACACGTATTTTAAATAAACTCTTAATAAAGTATTAACGACGTATAAAATACACCACCTTACTTGCTACTAAATAATTAATCACAGAATAATTAGAAGAAACAGAAAGATAAAAGTTATATTTTATTATCTACTTACTTTTTGGAAAAATCTTTAAAACACAATCTCAACTTATTCTGATGTTTTGTAAGTGCTTTTCCGTCACTGGGTAAGAAGGTTGTTGCCATTTCAAGAGGTCCCTGGTTAACAGTCGTCCCTATGCAACCCTGAAGTACCATCTGGAGAATTTTTGGATCTGGAGGTTCTTGATTTGTTGCATGTGCTAATTCTAATGTCTTCTTTTGAATATCTTCAATCGCAACCTAATAATGCAAAATTTACCAACATTAACAATTTATTTTAATGTATAATTTTATTAAAGATATTAGTAGGTATCGTTAATCTGCATAAAAGATAAAAACAAAGAAGGAAGTATATCAAAAGTTATTACAACGGGGAGACGAAAAAACAAAACAACAATATAAAAACTTGAATAAAGAAGTCAAACGAGAAGTGGTTAAAAAGAAAAATAGTGCATGGGAACAAAAATGCCAATACCTAGACAACCATATAGGAGGGATAAAGAGCTCTGAAGCCTGGAGAACTATAAAAACGATGAGAACAACGACAAAAAACCAAGTCATAATAAATAGAATACCAGAGAATCCATGAGTAGAGCATTTTGAGAACTTATTAACAGAGAGAAGAGAAAGGTTTAAACAGACAACATATATATCGTCTTTAGGAATGAAATATCTCCAATGTGAAAATATCCTAATTTTACAGGAGACACAAAAAACAGTTAAATAACGCTATTTTATATTGTATTAAATTAGTAATTGATTTTTTTGGCCAAACTAAGGTTGATATTGATATTATGGTGAAATTGATTCCTTAAATCAGTACAAAACATTAAACTAATAAAAAAAATATTACAAACGCGCACATTGGAGAAATTATAAATGATTGAACCGGTACATAGCAGGAATTTCAAATATTGTGTATGGCATGTCATAGTACTATACACCTTAAATTTGGTGTTATTAGGGGAAAAAGAGTCATATAAACGGTGAAGTGATTTGTATTATCTTTATTTTAAATAAACAAACTTCGACATGTAGTATCAGTGTATGATATTTTTACGAACACCACCGAAAGTATTATTTTTTGTTGATTTTAGGAAGAGTATCGTAAAAGTGATGATGATCTTTTTCAATAACTGATTTGAGGTCTTGCAGATGTTTGAACTTGTCTTCTGATATTTCAGGAGGTGTCTTGAAGAGCGAGTTTTCATAAACCGACAGGTCTTGGCTTTCTCTTCTGTGTGGTAGTAGCTTCCAGTTATCTGAGTAATCAGTGGTGTAGTATACCTCTCCATTGGGACTATATTTTAATTGTCTTATATCTACAACTTGCGGATCTTTGGCATTTTTTTCCAGGTCTTATTGAACGAAAGTTACTATCAATAGCATACTTTTTAAAGAACGTAAAATCTACGTTTTTAATATTATACGGATGTTTTGGCCGAGCAAGACGCATTCTAGCAATGTAATCCATCGGTGAATTAATTGGAGTCTGAAAGTAATGTTCCAAAGTTAAATGAACTGAATCTGCTTCCATCATAGTATGGCCTTTTTCAAGATATAACTGCTGTATTGTAAGGGATTTTGCTCTTGCTGAATCACTTAAAGCACAAGCCAGAGTTCTTTCTCGATTTTGGTAGTTGCATCCATCTTAGATGAATACAAGAGTTTGATAGTTAGCAGGAATATTATTTATATAATCTATAAGACAAGATGTAAATTCATTGCTACTGACTCCACCATTTGCTTCATGCCAAACGTACAACTGGACATCTTCATCATTTAGAGAATAAATGGTGAAGTTGTGTACTTGGAGTATGAGCTTATAATACGATTGGAAAGCTAATACTTTTGGACACGTTAAGAAACTTTGAATATCAACTGTGAGAACCAATTTTTCAGAATTTGCGCTACTTTTTAATAACTCTTGCCCGTCTTCCTTCTTTCTGCTTTGACATGTGCTGATCACAATCTTCAGTACTTATTGTCTTCATTTTATGTGCAACACACGTATCACATTGATCTTTCCTTTGCTTATTATGTATGCCAATTTTCTCTGCTTCTAAAACAATTTTAAACAACTTGATATGAGCAACTGACTGTTTTCTATCATCGCACCATTCTTTATATAATCTGTACATGTTATTTGTTGTTATGATACTGTTGTCAACATATATTCTGCTAGTAGATGCTCTACAATAGTGTGAAGGAACTTTAGGAATATCTTGCAACCATTCCATAACATTATTTTCTTTGCAAATTTGTCTCATTTTTCTTGGAGTAATCTTGTTGAATGTTGGAATCTTGTAGACTTCACTAGAAGTATCAATTTCATGAGTGGCTGGCTCCCTTGAGACCCATCGTTTCATTTTGTCTTCTCCTAAATTTAATGTGTTCAAAAACATAACTCTCGGCATACCTTGAGGTAACTTCCGTCTTTAGAAACAAAAAAAGTCACGAGCACTCTTCTTTTTGGACCGTTTGTCTGAATTTGAGTATCTTTTCGGCGCCTTTGCACTGCTCTTGCCCGAACAAGATTTTTAACATAAGTGCTTCTATGTTCCCACGACGTAAATGTCCAAAAATTTTTTAAAATTCGTAGTCTATCGTCCTGCGTAATTAAAGAACATCAAAATGAGTGTTCTTTTAAACATTTTGGCGTTATAATATGGTTACATCGCTCCTTAACTGACATGCCATTCCGTCTGGTAGTATGTTGTACATCGCCAAAACACAAATTTTGCCTTTTTCATGTTCCAATATAGTAGCTGCAGGCAAACTGAAATAAGAAAAATAATTATTACCTACTTAATTTAAGCAATAATTAGATGAAAGATATCTAACCGTAGTAGTGAATTTGTTTACATACCTGTTGTTGGATTTTTCATTATAAATTTCATTTTCAATAGGAGCAAAAGTTTGGATAGAATTTTGCCGATCTTACTTAACTGAATTTTGTACAACTATTTTAGTTCTTGTCTTGAAAACACTCATTTTGCACTGGTAAATAGCTTATTTGAGAAAATTTGAGGATAGGAATTTGACAGATGAAAGTATGAAATACCTCCAATGTGCAGATATTATAATAGATAATAGCTCCAATGTGTTTTTTAAGCACATTGGATTTATTTCAGTCCAACAATTAATAATATGTTACATTGGAGTAATGCATTTTTATACATTAGGGAAGTTAGGAATCGGTACACACATTGGATATTTTTCTAGACTGTAAAACTATTCATAGCGATTCAGAATCGTTTAAAATCTGAATTACTAGAAATTTGCACATTGGAGGTATTTCATTCCTAACGACGATATATATATATATATATATATATATATATATATATATATATATATACATATACATATACATATATATATATATATATATATATATATATATATATATATACATATACATATATATATATATATATATATATATATATATACATATACATATATATATATATATATATATATATATATACATATATATATATATATAAATATGTATATATATATATATATATATGTATATATATATGTATATATATATATATATATATATATATATATATATATATATATCTATATATATATATATATATATATTTACGGCATAAAGTGGACTCCGCCCATGTTAAAATTCAGGTTCAGGTGAGCTCCGTGGTCAAGTGGACACCGATATACGGAGCTCACTTGACCATTCCATAATATTGGCTCTATCGATTCGTCAACATGTATAGTTTCATAATTTTTAAAAAAAATTTTGGAGCCCATAATTATCCCTGTATCATAAATGTATATCGCTTAATTCACGTGTATATATTATAGGGGTCGTTCAGATTGGAACCATATGTATATCGGTTTAAGGAGTCAAACCCGGAAAAAAAATATATATATATATATATATATCTATATATATATATATATATATATATATATATATATATATATATATATATATATATATATATATATATATATATAGTTTGCGAATTTCTTATGTATTTGACCAAGAAAAAAAATCCACTAGTCACTGTTATTTTGGAGTGGAAGCGTGGACTCTAAGATTTGGGTATACAGACGACTACTACAAATAGGCTGGATAGACAGAGTTGAAGAACAGAAGATCATGACAGAAAAACATAAATCGTATATATATATATATATATATATATATATATATATATATATATATATATATATATATATATATATTATATATATATATATATATACTCCGCCAAAAAAGTATTGCATCACTTATAAAATTACAAATATTTCTGACAGCATTTGGTTAATTTAAATAATTTCTTTCTGGCCTATAAGAATATTAAGGCTAGAATAAATATGAAGAAGAAATTTGTAAATACAGTTTATTGTATAAGAAAAAAAATGTTAATTGCTATTTTGTCCGGTTTTTATATTATCAGTGTTTATTTTAGTTTTGTAAAAAGTATACAGTTTGCCTTTAATTTAAAATTTCGTATTAAATATTGAGTATGGAAGGTCGCGACAATATAAATTTAAATTTAACGAGAGATCAAGTGGTTAGAATAATTTCCCTCATTGAAGATGGAAGGAGTCAGAGGTATGTGGCAAATTTAGTGAGTGTAAATCAGTCGACAGTATCACGAGTGGTAGTAAGGTACCGAGAGACTGGTCTTTATGAAAGACGAGCTGTATCAGGTCGACCAAGAGCAACTACGCATGTGGACAATAGATTTTTAGTACTTCAGGCTTTACGTCGAAGGCATGTGACTGCGAGTCAACTTCAACATGCTTTAGCCGAGACTCGAAATGTACGTGTGTCTTCAGAAACTGTTAGGCACATCTTAAGAGAGTCTGGAATTAGGGCCAGAGTAGCTGCCACTGTACCGAGACTTACAAGGGAACACCGTATAGCACGTCTAACATTTGCAAGAGAGCACGTAAACTGGAATATCAACGACTGGGGTAACATACTCTTTACGGATGAGTCAAGATTTTGTTTATACACTTCGGATCGAAGAATACCAGTTTATAGACGAGATGGCGAGCGTTATTTTCAATGCAATCTAAGATTGGCGACAAACTTTGGAGGAGGATCTATTATGCTCTGGGGTGGAATATCTCTTAGGGGTCAAACCGAATTGGTACAGCTAGATGGAGGATCCTTAACTGCTGATAGGTACATTAGAGACATTTTAGAGATGCATGTTGTTCCTTACGCCCCATTTATTGGTAATGACTTTGTTTTAATGCATGACAATGCACGCCCACACGTCGCAAGAATCGTTACCGAGTACCTTCAAGAGGTAAATTTACAAGTTTTGAATTGGCCAGCGCACAGCCCAGACTTAAATCCAATAGAACATGTTTGGGACCATCTTTACAGAAGGGTGAGATCTGGTAATGTGACGCCAGCTAATCTTCAGGACCTGCAACGGTTGTTAACCATAGAATGGGACAATATCGATCCAGATTATCTAAGAAGATTAATTGGAAGTATGCCACAACGTTGTTTAGATGTTATAAGAGCTAGAGGAGGCAATACGTCTTACTAAATTATCATTAATTTTGATTTTGATTTTTTATTATTCAATGCTGTTTGTGCGCTTACTTCTAATTTATGAAATAAATTAAATAAAACCTTTATTTTTCGTACATTCTTCATTTTTCTTTTAATACTTGTTATGTACTTAAAAAATAACAAAAAACAACAGTACACAATTCATGTTTTAAATTATTTTTAATCCAAAATTTGCAGTTTCATAGGTGATGCGATACTTTTTTGGCGGAGTGTATATATATATATATATATATATATATATATATATATATATATATATATATATATATATATATATATATATATATATATATATATATATATATATATATATATATATATATATATATATATATATATATATATATATATATATATATATATATATAGCTGCTCTCATTTCACACGGTCATCCATGATAATTGGGTGGGTGGGTAGCCCCACTGTTCTTAAATCTGAATGTTATCTCTCCACCGCATTAGTGGGCGTCCTGAGGGCTTTCTCTCTGTCGAAAACTCCTCCTTGATTAACTTGGCAAGGCGTTATTAAGGAGCCCATCTTAGGCGTTGGGTTTAATTTTTTGATGTCGCTAGCGTTATATATCAATTTGACCTCTGCATTTGTTGTCATTCAGTATTGGTTAGTATTTCTGTCGTGATAAGATCCGAAGACCCTTCTGAGGAGTTTTCTCTTTCTCAGGCTCTTGGATTTAATAGTGTTGTAGAAGTTATACATAAATATGTTTGCTACCTTAAAAATCGAAATGCATATATATTTGGTTTTGATTTCATTGATCATTGGACCGCTTATGCTAGTACTAATTCTGGTTCATTTACTATCAATAGTTCTGTTTAAATTTTTGCCGTTTTTACTACTTTTTCCAGAATTATATTAGAGGAGATACAGCATTTATACCATTTATGTACAGCTATTTTATTGCTTCTTATTAAGAATAGGCACAGTTTCTAACCAATTCAATCATAATTAGGACCGTCTGACGTAAAAATATCCTTTCTAAGTGTTTATAGTGTGCAGAAATAAGTGTTTCCCCTTGATCATTCCTGGAGTAGCTAACAAATTTTTTAAATCATTGTCCACACAAAGGTTTTTCACGTTAGACATAAAATGTGTTTTGTTCTTTCATTTAGACGTGCTTTTTATGCTGCACTTCCGTCACTTTTCATTTATATTCGCAGATCATTGGTCTTCAATAATCGAGGAACCGCTAGTTATATTATTGCAAAAATGATATTCTAAATTCGTTACTCAGCTCGGGAATAAATTTTCGCCAATCTTGCTTCTAAACAGCATTGACACTTGTATAAAACCATAAACATTACCAACATATTTTGAATCTATACAAACTAAAAGCCAAAACTTTATATTTGTCAAATGTGTCTGACTTGTTAATAATACAATGGGTAAAAAGAAACCTGGCTTTGGTAGGCAATAAGTTCCATTCACAATAATAAATTTTCCAGGCTTGAAGCAAGTTATGCTATTTGAAATAAATCCATACTAGATTGTTGATGATAAGGTAAATTTGTTTGTTTTCAACCTTCCAGATATTGTGGATTTTATGTCAAATGGGTCATCTTTTGGATGTTGTAACTCGGAATTATCTGTAGCCAACTTATGTACTTGGAAGGATATTATACCTGATACAGCAGTTTCCACGCTGCGATCTATTTAAGACTAAATAAAACCTACCATCTACTGCACCAAAGCGCATCATTTTGCATATTATCCCATCTTTTGATTGCTGTCTCAAATTTATTTTACTAAAACACTTTGTTCTGCTTTGTTTGTGTAGAACTCTAAAACATTAGGACTTGCTGAAAAACTTCTAAAAATTTGAGAGAGGATTTCTACAGGAATATCTACAGACTCATCTGAGCCACTGTTATTGGAAATACGTACGAAGTTTTCATCGTTTAATTCAAAGTCTCTATCATCATCTAAGTCGGTATCAGAATTTTCGTAGATTTCTTTAAAAAGTTTGGCATTAATCAGATCACGTCGAGATATTGTCACCGAAACTAAACTTGCTACTGTATCATTTACAAACCAACAAAATTGGAAAACATCGAACAATAACAGCAAGATACTTTTATTATTACTATTTTAAAAATATTTCCGTTTATTAAATTTCGGAGAAACGGAATACAAATTCTCAATTTCTAAGAAACAATGGATGGAACTCACATGCAACTATCACGTAATAAGTTCCTTTGTTTATGTTTTAAATCGATACTTTATATCAAAATATTAAAGAGTCGGAAAGATGAAGTGATCAAAATTTTAAACAAAAAAGATATAGAAGTGGATCTAATGTTAACTAGACTTACCTCAATTGGTGTGAGTGTTATCTGAGATCTAGAAACAACCTGTATTCTTGTCTTAACATAAGGAAAATGAACAGCAGTGGTAAGTATAGTTTTCCTTTTATATTGTTCCTTCAACTCTCCGTGAGCTTTTCCAGTCATAGTGAAAGGAGTAGCGTATACAAATCGTTCTAAAAAATAAATATGAAACTTAATATACTTAAGTACTTAATACTTAAGTAATATACATTGGTAATCAATAGATGTGTTTACATAAAAGTGTAAAATATGGGGATCTAATCCATAACAATTCGTGTAATAGGTAAGAGCAAACTCATTTTCCTAAACAGAGAATATTTCTTCATTCCAGGGTTTCAAACTGGTAGGATATCAATATCAAGCTCTTCACCTTAGAAACACAGCTAATGGAGAGCAGCAGTAATGGTAAAAAATAATCTAATTCACTTCAAAAGACAGAGTAAAGACACTGGATCCATTCGGGCAGATAATATAAGTGTCAAAACAAAAAATATAAGTTAACAGTAGTAGTTGCATATTTTCTACCAAAACATAATCTAAAAATAGAAAATTACGTCCAGTTCCTCAATACATATGGAGAAAAATGTATCATTGGTACAAAATGTATTGCTTAAAATACCGATTAATCAACAAAGGGTAGATAATTGCATGTAGAAATAGAAAATATAAATAAGAAATGACACTTAATTAGAAAACCCACATATTGGCTCACTGATAAAAATAAAACAACCAATTTGATTGCCTTTTTCGTTTCAAAAAAGTTTTAACACATTTTATGAAAATAAAACAAGCTTATAGTCCCAGTTCTGATGACTCTCTAATATTACCTACTAACAGTCAGTGAGCATATTTTACTAAGAGAAAATAACCCTAACTTATCCTAAATAACTAGGATAAGCTTTAGAGAGGTATTAAGTGATAGAATTGACATAAATATACCCATCAAAACTAATGAACAACTTTATGAAGAAGCAGAGAAACTAAACATAAATATACAATAAGCAGCACGGAACAATACCAAACAAATTATAAGAAAAACCAAGGGTCAAAATTATCCCAAAAAAACTCGAGGACTAGTGCAAAGAAAAAGAAAAGCTAAGAAAAGATGGCAAAAAAAACAGAATTAAATAAAATAAAAATGTATTGAACAAACGGACCCAGCAGTTAAAAGCATAAATAGATATAATAACAAAGTAAATCAATACTTAAACGATCTGACAGATGACCAAACCACTGACTGCTCGTTGTCGAAATGTACAAAAAGAATAAATAGACATATGTAACAGATTTCGCTAATAAGAAATGGAAAAGAAGATGGAACATGAACACGTGACGGAATATGAAAAACAAATATTTTCACTTTATACTTGGAAAATGTATTCCAAAATCACGATATGGAAAATAATCATTAAGCCGAAAACGATGGGAATACTACCCCTAAAGAAGTAACCGAAGTAAGCAAAAAAAAGGGCTAAAAGGCTAAAATCCTAAAAAGGCTCAGATAACTTTATAAAGGGAGCATTCAAGCTACAATAAGTATCATTAAAGTGAAAAACAGCTGAACCAATTATGATTCCCAAATCAGAGAAACCATTGAATAAACACAATTCCTACACAAATATGGCTGCTACCAATTATCTCCAAATTATTTGAGAAGGTATTGCTAATAAGAATACGACCTATATTGGAACACAAAGAAACTATTATCGCGAATACACCGCATAACAAATATTATAGAAAAATCTCTAGAATAAAATATGATCAGCGATTTTCCTAGACATAGCAAAAGCATTCGATAAAGTGTGGTACAGAGGCTTGCTAGTAAAAATCAAAAGATATCTTCTTTACATTCACTATGTCCAGCTAGTACACTCATATTTGGAAAACAGACAACTTTTACAGTTAAACAGGAAGGCGAATATTTCAGAACTACAATCAATCAAGGTAGGAATCACACAAGGCAGTGTTCTGGCACCAATACTATATTTATTATAATACTTTGTGACATCTCTGTTACGGAAAATATTAAACTGGCCACATTTTCAGACGACACTACAATATTAACAGTTGGTGAAACATTATAACTACTAGAAACAACTAAACACCTCCAAAATGCAATAAACAAAACAAGTAATTGAAATAATAAATGGCGCATAAAAATTAATGAAGGGAAATCTGCACATATCCATCTCACTTAAAAAAATAAATATTCGCCCAGTTAGACTAAACAATAAAAACAAGATGTCCTAGGGCTACATTTGGATAGCAAATTAAAGTGAGGGAAACATATCAGAAAGAAAACTTAAATACAATAAGATATTCGGTAGTTTATTTGGTAGAAGCTCACAACTTACAATCAAAAACAAGGCATTAGTTTACAAACAAATGCTCAAACAAGTATGGTCCTAAGGTCAACAGATCTGAGCTGTACTAGTGACAATAACTATGCTTGCGATCAAAGTCCAAAATCGAATACAGAGGAACATAGTCAACGTTCCGCGGTGTATCCGAAACAAAGACCTACATCGGGAACTCCGTATAGTAACAATTAAAGAAGAACTAAAGATTGCCAAGGGTCACGAAAAGCAACTCCATAACCATACAGAGTCTTAGAACTGCTAGATAATCAAGACCTAGTCCGCAGGCACAAACTTTCCAAACCTTTCTAATTTATGTGATAATGATAAATGTATAAATATCCGTTTAAATTCAGGGAGTGAACCTAAAGACAAAAGTGAAGTTTGCAGCAATAATTATTATATTCTAAGGTGAACCATTTATAAATACCTAGGAAGTAAAATCACAGATAAGGTTAAATATATAACGATGGTTAATCATAAGGTTAGATGTATTGTTCCTTTAATACATAAAAAAGTGATGCAGTAGGTGGTACTGTAGATTAGCGCGAAGCTTAATACTATGTTTTCTGTATTTTTAAAAATTAAATAATATTTTTAAAATTGAATAAAGTAATTTTATTATTTATTTTTTATAGATTTTAATAAAATTAAAAAAGTTTACATAGTTGTATAACGAAATCTCCTCGTCCCGTAAATGAACTCTTCCAACTGTTTACTGTGACTGTGAACCACGAACCGCTTTTTCTTGTTTCATGGCACTACTTCCGTGACGTCCGACTCAGCATTTTACTATAGAGAAAAAGTAATACAACGCCAGTATAGAAACTTCGCTGCAACAAATCCAGGTTTTAAGTATTTGTTGCCTGTTTTGGTATCAAACTACCGTGGTAGCTTGATAGTAGCTTTCGGTACCATGTTTACATGAGAGCATACTCGATTTTCATCCATTCTGTTTGTACGTTGTTTCCATTTTGTTCTGTATTATTTTATTTTCTCCTTGACCGAGAAGGTATTTAGTTTTTATCTATCGTCATTATTTCTAAAATTTACGGAATTCACTAGTCATAAAGATAAATATGTGAAAAAATTGTCACTTCTAGTCAAAAGTACTGTAGGAAGTTATATCAAATTGTAGAAGCTGGCAAACTTAAAGTTTATGAATTATTAGAAGTATCGAGAAAAAATCTTAAAAAAAAGGATATTTTCTTATAAATCTGTTGAACGGCATCCAATTTTAACTTTTTGTCATCGTCATCATTAAATCAAAATATAAAAGCAATTGCTACTTGACAAGATATTCATAATGACTAATGTACTTAAAGCTCTAGCGGTGTAGGAAACTAATAACGCCAAGAGATTATATTAAAACTCAGCAAACCTGAAACACATTGCATTATTTAAAGCTATTTCACATTTCTAAACATCACTGTATCTTATATTGCTCTTTTTCAAAATATTGAATTAATTAATAACGAGTTTTCAGTTGTTTTGGCGTTTTGTTGAGAGAAATACAATAAATAATTGCTTATTTGTAGTATGTATTTCTTTTTATTTTTGCGTGTAAAACTTGTATTTTGGCTTTATAAAGCATATATTTTAGCTTGAAGTTGTGACAAAATCTTAGTGACAATAGTTAATGAAGTTGTTGAACTGGAAAACGTTTTAGATGCTTTTCCGCCAGATCACACACTCCAAGAATAAATATAGAAGAAAATAACTAAGTAAGGCTAAGGGTGAGTAAAAGCAGATAATAATGAGTGTCATCAAACTAAGAGCCTCAAAGATATTGATTCGGAAAAAAATTACGTATGGATATCACTGGAGGTAAAGCAGGTGATGCATTATATAAAAAAAATCAAGTACTATTTTGCAGTATTTCTTCAATATAAGTACTATTATAGGGACTTTTATATATTTACATGAATCATCTTGCCTAACAAACAACTCAACAAGCGTGCATTTTACATCTTAGTCATTTTACATATTTTGAATGAAAATATAAATACTTACTTATATTGAAATTTTTATCAAAATGCGTCTGACGATATCTTAGTTCATATTGTTCGAAATATGGCTCCACGTAAGTTATTTGAATGTAGGCTTTGTCCGGATTCAAAGAACTGATATCTACTATATTGGAGTCTTTTATTATAATTACATTATCAGCACCGAATCGTTCACTGTAGAAATTCTAAAAAAAATTAAACGAATGTAAGAATCTTTTTTAAATTTGATCTTTCAGATGTAATATTTGAACCCAATGATATTCAAAACTTATTTGTTTTATCCTTACGCCACTATATAATGGAAGAGTACAACGAGAGCATCAAGATTAATGGCGTACCAATTAGTAATTTTCGATATGCAGATGATACTGTTATACTGGCCGATAACACAGAAGATTTACAGATGATGCTAAATAGAGTAAATACAACTGGAAACCGATTTGGACTGAAGATCAATAGAAAGAAAACTAAATTTATGGTGATCAGTAAAAAGAACATTCAACATATCGACCTGAATATTGAAGCCGAACGTATTGAAAGAGTACACCGCTTTAAATATCTGGGATATACAGTACATGATAACTGGGACCTAGACGTAGAGATTAAGATCCGAATTGAAATAGCAAGATTCAAATTCATCAAAATGAGAAAGCTCTTAAGCAACCGCAACCTATGCCTTAACCTCCTATGGCGGGCCACGAAATGCTACGTACTCTCTACGCTACTTTACGGACTAGAAGGGTGGACAGCAGCAACTATAAAGAAGTTAGCGGCTCTAGATATGTGGCTGTATCGACGCATACTGAGAATACCTTGGACAGACAGAGTGACCAACACAGAGGTATTAAGACGGATGGGTAAGGATGTGGAATTATTAACAACCGTTAAAAGGAGGAAATCGTCATACCTGGGCCATGTGTTCCGTAGTGATAACTACAGTCTGCTACAGCTTATCGTGGAAGGCAAAATTGAAGGTAGAAGAGGTGTGGACAGAAAGAAGAAATCCTGGCTGAGAAACTTGAGAGAATGGTTTCAAATACCAGAAGCTGAGAACATAATACATGCGGCACAAAACAGAGAAACCTATCGTTTGATGGTCGCCAATCTTCAGTAAAAGACGGCACATAAAGAAAAAGACTTATATAATAACCACCAACTACTGGACACGCGGGCACATTGAGTGTAGTACACTACAGCAGCCTGCGAAACAGTCCAGGAAGCGTTGAGTCTTAACAAGGGCTAGAGTGATGGTGATGATAGTGATTTGCCGTTAATGCAACTATAACTAATACCTAATACTATTTTCCACTTACCTCTAACCTACTGAAGATTTCAGGCAACTTGGTCAATGTTGGTTCTTTATATATAAACTCCTCTCTCTCTAGATCACCAAACTTAGATCCGTAGAATCCGACTCGAAAATAGGTTCCAAACATTCTCTTACCTGACAACTGATCAATTCTAGTATATGCCTCGTGCAATTTACTGAAAGATAAAAGACCCTCGTTATTCCTAATGTTTGCGGATTTGTTAGTCATTTTACATTACGTTAATTAATGTATTCTTGTATTTAAGAAATCAGATTAATTTTTGTATTTATTTTTAATATCTAGCAGGAATAAACCATAAAATTTAAAATAAATGATTTATTATTGCCAGGTCAAGACAGTCCTACGTGTCATTAAAACTTCAGAGAGCACACTACATATAACTTAATACATAAAGAGATCCATCGACCAGATGCAATGACAACATAAAATGACGTCTGAAACCTCAGTGATGTCTGCCTAAAGGCCTCATCTTTAACCAATAATACGTTGAAAGAGCATTTTTTTTTCTTCTTTTGTGGTAGTTTTTCTTTTCGCAATTTATTTTTTCAGGCGTATTAATAACGTTTTGTAATATTCGCTATCAACGGTCCTTTCGTTTCAGAGCCTCATTTATGTGCATACTTATGTGCATACTATTTTCGACGAAGCAGAGTTCGAATATCATGTATCAGGCCATTGCTTTGTTCACGAGAGAGGACAACTATTACCAGATGAAGAGAAATGGTTCTTATCAGAACCATACGTGACAATGATTTCCGTCAATGTATTCACGGCGTTTAGTGAGCAGATTAAACATTTCGGCAAACAAACAACTACCGATCAATATACCTTCTGTACCACTTATTTAAACTACATAATATATAAAAGGATGATCTTAGATCGTACCCAGAAGGTAGTGTATTTTAAACTTGTTGCTGAACAGTCAGGATTTAGATCTGGAAAAGCATGCACCGAACAAGTATTGAGCCTCACTGGCATCGCACTAGTTCATATAGCAATTTACCTACGATACCGTAAACTACAATGAAGCGCAAGGTAAAATATGCAACACTCTGAAAGACATAAACCTGATTAAGTAATGAACCTTATGCATGTGACTATTTTCTGCAAAACAGAAGATTCCAGGTATGCTACGTTACAAAAAAAGTATATGGAAAAATAAAAACAACCTCCTCCAAAGTAGTGTACGCGTTCCTGTGCTATTCAATAAATGACTTGTTAAGAACAGAAGTGATCCAAGTCACCTTTTTAGAAAAGCCAAATCTAAGGTCCATCGAATACATTATTCTGCAAAAAGTTATTATGGTAATTTCTGTACTGTGGTACACATACGAATCCTTCAGGCTAAAGTGATCCAAGTAACTGGAATGCTACTTGAATTATTTTACTGTTTATTTTAACTCATTTAATAAAAAAATACATAAATGACCAGTTAATATTCAAAGGAAATCTCGAAGTTGCTCTAGACAAAGTGCCTAAATACTACAAGAAAAAATACCTCAGGCCGAATTCCTCAGAAACAAAAGTAAATACTTCCCATGCAAAAGCCACATGGGAATAAAAAGTCCTTTAACACACAGAAAACCCTAAATACATCGGAATTACGTTGGGCAGCTCTCTAATATATTAGCACTTATGTCATGTAAAAAAAAGCCTCAACCAGAAACTTGTTACTAATAAAACTGACAAAGTAGTTGAGGCGCATGCCCTGACTTTAAGAATAACCGAATATCGGATAATGTGTTTTTTAATAGTAGAGTATTATTGCCTAGTCTGAAACTGATCGATCTATACGAAACAACTTGATGTAGCTGTGAATTAAATATGCAGCATAGTAACCTGATGTATGAAACCTGTCCCACTCAAACCCCTATACAAAGCGGCAACGAATTTACACCACCCGTTATACATCAGAGAACCCTAAAAATCTAAAATCTAGATACAACTTTCTGTATTATGTGTCATTCCAAGAAACTAACCATAAAAGAAGAGACACGCTCTGGTGAAGTCTCGATTGGAACACTTAAAAATGTAATAGAACTAGCGTATACACAGCAAATATGAACAAAATATAATGGAATCTAAAAACTACTAATGGTGATGTGTGCGGGTGTGGAAATTAACAAAATATGGAAACTTGCTGTCATACACTATGTATTTCTCAAGCTGTACCCTCTACGATCTATGGTTTGTGTCAGGAAGCATTGATTTATCAACATAATAAATTCAAATACTTCCGTTGTTTTTAAAATTGCAAAAATAGTAAACCACATAGTGGTAATATTGAGCTCAACATTTGAGAGGTGATGCTTAAGAGTTAGTACTTTGAAAATAATATTGATTTGCTATTTGTGGCGCCATCTTAATACTTATTAAGTGATGTATGTTGTTTTTTATCATTCCAAGACTTATTGAGTGATGCATGTTTTTTTTTATTCAATATTCATTAATATTACCTTGAATAAAATACTTACCCATGAATATTTGCCAACTTTTTAAAGTCTCTATTATGCTCAGCAATTGGTATTAATACCCTGTAGATATCGTTCATGGGTTCGTACATAGCAGCGACATTAAAACTGCTAGCAGCTTGTTCGAGTAAACCCAGTAATCCCGCTTCGGTGAAATGAGAACCTAAACATCCTCCCTCTTTTTCGGGACTCAAAACATCGTCGGATACGGCACTTTCTTTAAGAACATTAGGACTCACTCTTTCTAAAGCTGCTGCTCCTGCTGGCAGATGAGGAAGTGGTTCCAACATTGCCTAAAATATAATATTTTATTTTGTTCTTAGTAATAAACGTATATAATTAAATTACCAAATATTCAGCAACCAATGCAGCAGAATGCACCAAACACATTCCAGCTTCAGTATGGTTGCCCCGCTCCATGTGTTTCTGTGCCATATTTGCTAACCACGTTAGTCTAAGATCCGGTGAATTTTGATACCCTTTGGCGATTCTATACATCAAATCAAGCAACATTTCAGGATCTTCTTGGAATTCCTTCATTTTCACTGTATCAGAAAGAATCATGTGTAAATTGAAAACCAAATCTCGTACTTGTTCTGGGAATGTTGTTTCTTGAAGTTCGATGTCTCGTTCGCCATATTCTAAAATTGTTTTTAAAGATCTTCGCAAAGAATCGTCACTGAATGAAGCGGAAGTTCCTACTAGGCTACTCAATGACATCGTTACTTGCATTTTTACTCTTGCAAAATTCTGAAATCAACAAACGTTTTCTATTTTTCAATTGACCTTGGTTAAAAGATTCCACTTACGTTTCCTATTTGGAATGTTTGTCTCATCAATAAATATAATGAGGCTGCTGCTTGAGACCGTACAGATGCTATTTGAGATCCGCAGTGTTTTAATAATAATAAACAAAGATCAGCGCAGTGAGAACTTTCTTCGTCAAATAAGGCACTATGAAACTAAAATGTAACACACAATATTAGACATAAAAAATATTTTTTATACTCAACACCACACCACTTACTTTAAATACCAAGCTTCTTTGAGAAGCAAACATATGCGGCAATACTGTAGTACTCTGGTTTTTGCCCAAAGCATGTAGTAACACTGACAACGCTAGGCCAACCAAATGTTGCTGAGAGTCCCACTGGGAAATTGTCGCTACACACCTTTCTAACGTATCCAAAATGATAAATGAAGCTTCAGTAGCCAGGTGTCCCTCTAAGTGAATTTCATTAGAGATATCATCTCTAGGGCGATCGCTGAGTTCAGAAGTTGGTCTATATAGTTGTTCTTTACGCCAACGAACTTTTTCTGAAGAGGCTTGGGCTGCTCCTCCTTTATTTAATAAAACATATAAAGGGTGAATTGGCTTAAATGCAAATAAAGGACAGGGAAGCAAGTTAACAAATACAATTTTTTAAATTTATGTAAAAATTTTAAATGGTCTTCAGAAACTACTACCTTTTCTTCTCTGCATCATTTCTCTCGCCGATCCTTGTCCCAGTATCACATCTTCCAACCTAGATCGCATATCTTGAGTGTTTTGTGCATGTGCGTATCCAGAAGGTGGTGGAGCTCTTCTTCTCGGTCTGTATTCAAAACAGCTGGCGCATGCGTCTAGAAGATGGAGCAGTGTAGCTAGACGAGAAGAAGATAACTCTCCTAACCACTGAGACAACGAATCCCTTTCTACATTCTTTAAAACCCACAAAACGCACGTGAGGATGTTTCGAGTAACTTCTCCTGAAAGGCCCAGCTTTCTGGTTTGTAACTAAAAGAAAAAAAAATGTGCTTGACAAATTAATATCAAGGAATCCAATTATAATAGTATACATCATCAAAAATAAAGAGAAACGCTGCAAGACGAATTTGTTTTTCCCTGTAAGAAATTAAAATTTACTTACTACTCGCGGGCACACAATAAAACAATTGAAATCGTGTGCACTTCATAAATTGGTGATAATTAGATATCGCAGACCGTTATTCTTTCAATATTGTTGTGGAGAACGAGTTTGGTCTAGGTTAAGTTAGGTGTTATGTAATGACGGGAGTTCTATGGAGAAGTAAACTGATCATTTTTAAAGTAAATGACAGCATTTATTATCATTTCTTTTCATATAAACACATCACCTAGTCGAACCACACTTTTTCTTACTGCGTAACAAAACAATTTTCTTTCATTGGGCAAAACTGTCAATTTTCTATATGGTAGTAATTTCGCAATTTAACCTTGAACACTTCTTTGGTGTTTTGCTAATTGTTGATATATTTGAAACATTATACAATCGAAATAAATTCATTAGTCTATTAGGAACTATTGAAATAAATAATGTATTAGGGAGGATGGCGGCCACGACTGTTTCTCAGAATTGCATAAATTCGCGCCCTCTAATGAGCTCTTTATCTCTGAGGACTGTCTGTTTTTAGGTGAGCGGTTTATCCTTATAAGCAGAACATTAACGGACTAAATTTTTTTGCATTTCTACCGCACCAAACCTGTTTTATTCGATTTTATTATTTCAAATTTAAATACTCGATACACAAATACCGGTAAGCTACTCAAGGAATAGAAATGTGTACTCAGGTGCGCATGACGTCACCTGCGAAGCAACAATACAGGGTACTACGGTGTTCGAGATATAGGATTCCCTGTCCCAGTAGATGTATTTGTGCATCGTGAGGTAACTGAATTGTTTTTACAAAGCCTCTCATTTCGATCTCTTTTTCTAGTGTTTAGTCTGTTTAGTTCAATTTTGTGTATTATAGACAAACATGCCGGGTTGTGTCGTAGCTAATAAAGTTATAATATCGCCACATATAAGATCACCAGTGAAATGGGTATTGAAAATACTACCCTTTAGTCTCAGCTGGGTGTTGGATATGACAAAAATTGTTTTATTAATAAGTCTTTAAATATTTTTGTTTTTGCAGATCCTCCACATTTGATTTAATTTGCCCGAAATCATGTAATTGATCATGGTTTTGTTATTGACAATAAAATTATCAAGAATAATTACTTTGAAGCGCTACTAAATATATCGACTTCAGAATTGACAATTGCACATAAATTAACAATACATCATCTCTGTTTAAAAGCCTCTATGGGGCAAAGACTGAGACTTGCAGTACAATTATTGTCAAATTCTGTAGCAAAAGCTATTAGTTATGCTGGAGAAAATGGACTTATGCCAAAAGATAGTTACTGGAACACGAAATGCATATGGTACATATTTAGATAAGCAGGCACGTCCACAGGATGAAATGTCAGAAATGGTCAATTCAATGCGGGTTGGTAAACATAAAGGACTTATTCCATTTCAAAAAGGAATATTGTCTACTAATAGATCTCTGAAAGAGTTACTTCCTTACATACAAGCAAAATACAACGTTGCCCATATTTTAACTTCGAGGTTGAATCAAGACGTGCTAGAGAACTTTTTTCTTATATTCGAGGAATGGGTGATGATCATCCTTCGCCAATAGATTTTAAATATATATTAAGGTAGTATATTTTAGGAAAACATTCGACGGCAATACTTACAGAATGTCGAAATACTACTGAAACTAGTGAATCTGACGTAAGTAACAGCTCAATAGAAAGTCCTCAATTAACAAGCGATATTTCGGCGTCAGAAGATATTTGCTTGACACAAAAAACGCTGTCTAATTTGGTAGAAACAACTAAAGGTTCGAAAAAATCTCAGCCAGAAGAGGACAAAATACATTTATAGAAGTTCACTACTTGAAGGAGAATCATATAATTGACGATGACCTTTTGTACCCTAAACGGGTACATAACTTCACTTTTTAAGTTCAAGAAATAAATTTTAAAATGTAGTATAAAATATTCAATAAATCTTTATTATGCATTGTCGACCGGATTCATTACTGGAACATTGTAAATGAAGCTAATGTTGGAAAAATCAAGTCAAAGTTCGAAGATATTTTGTAACACATGCATTTAAAACAATTTTCTTTAATTTTAAATGTTAATTAAGTGATTCAGAAAGTGTTTTTAATATATATTATCTTTAATATATATATATATATATATATATATATATATATATATATATATATATATATTATAAAATCATTCTACATATATATATATATATATATATATATATATATATATATATATATATATGTCTATATATATATATATATATATATATATATATATATATATATATATATATATATATATATATATATATATATATATATATATATATATATATATATATATATATATATATATATATATATATAGTCCTATAGTCCCAAGATTCCTATAAGAGGAACATAGGGCTTCCACAAAGTGTCTCCAGCGAACTCTATTTCTGGCTAGTGCTTTGATTTCAAGCCAGGATTTTCCATTTTTCTCCCTTCGTCCAGTACTGTCCTTCTCCAAGTTCCCTTAGGTCTGCCTACTTTCCGTCGGCCTTGGGGATTCCAATCCACCGCTGTCCAGGCAATGTCATTTGGCGGTCTACGGAGTGTGTGGCCAAGCCATCTCCATTTTCTTCGCCTTGTTTGCTTTATGACATTTTCTTGGTTGGAAATTTTCATTGGAGATTCGGTTAGGCCAAAATATACGAAGGATTTTTCGTAACGCTCTATTGATGAAAACTTGTAATTGGTGTACTATGGGTGCTGATATCTTCCACGTTTCGCAGCCATACAGTAATACAGCTTTTACATTTGTGTTGAAGATTTTTAATTTCGTTTTAGTAATCATTCTACATACTTTATTCAAATTACACGATTTTGGAAGTATTCCAGTAATTAATTTGACCATCGAAATATGTATAAAATAGAATTATTTTTACGCTGATGAATTGAAAAGTCATAATTATATTCCTACATTATTATGAATATACATACTTTATGTAGAGAAACGTCGAAAAAAGTTGTTTTATTTTTTAATAATCAGAGAATCTATACCCAAGAAAAATAAAAACATTGTAAACATTTTACACATCTTATAATATAAAGTGCCAAATATTCATTCTTATATATTTGATTGCCTATATATTTGATAGCGACTAACAGGGAAAGCGTTAGTGTTGTAATAGAAACTTTACTTCGCACTTGACGTCATACAGTGCGAGAGAGATAGAGCTAGCGTGCGCAATAGCATACCGGTATTTGTGTATCGTGGTTTAAATCATCGAGCAATTCGCTCGATGGTTTCAATATATATTTTTTAATTTTTCCAAGGGGGCCGGAAATTGTTATTAACAAATAACTTGTAACAAAAAAAAAACAATTTCCCGAATTGCTTCGAGTAAATTTTTTTAGGCGTATCTCATCGAAGTAAATTCTTTTTTATTATGGTAATTTTTCAAAAAATGCTTCTTTTTCGAGTTATTTGCAAATCTACATAAAGTTTTATAATTTTTAAACCTTCAAGAACAAGTAAGAATATTTTGTTAAGGACAAATGGATTATATCCTGCTGAAAACTTGAAACCAAATATTTCGAATATGTATTTCGAGCAATCTATCGCTAAGCGTGTAGGGTTACAGCGACATAGTCGCGTGGCACGTATAAAATCTTTGTTTGAATTTAGAACTATGTTTTTAGCTGTATATAAACCACTTATCCTTGTCAAAATATTAACTTTTACGTGAATAGTATAGCTTTATTACAATTGCAATTCATTTAGTAGTTTTAAGAACAAAAAATTACAAAAATCACTTATTAAGGCATTTTTTCAACAATAAAATTGAAAATAACTTGAAAAGGAAGCATTTTTCAAAAAAATTACCAAGAGAGAAAAAGTATTTATTTCGATAATATACGAAGTTTGCCTTTCTAGTTTTGTATATAGCCGCTTAAAGGATGCCACCAATAAAACCTCCCGACACAAATGTAGCCTATCTATGTTGGTCGGTCAAGTCGGTCGAAAAATAGATCTTAGCCGAGAAAATTTTTGAGCAATAATCTTTTACAATCTTCCCTATAGAAATGTCTCGCTGGAATGGTTTCTATGTTTGGGAATAAAGCATCACACCAATCAACTATTTCCCGCTGGTATTGCGAATTTCAACGTGGTCGCTCCAGTCTCAGCGACGAATCTTGGCCAGGTCCACCCAAAACAGCAGTCACACAGCAAACAATTGATACGGTTCGTTAGCTAATTAAGGATAGTCGTCATGTAATACACCGGAAGATAAAGACATCTTTGTGAATTTCACTGACCTCGGTCTAAAAGATCGTACATGAAGAACTGGGTGTTACGAAGTTAAGTTTGGCTCACAGCAGAGCAAAAAGAGGTTTGCGTCAATTGGCGTCCAAAAACATTGGAACGGTTCAACAACGGAAGCTTAAAAAACGTATATAGTATTGTTAGTGGCAATGAATCTCGGATTTACTCCTACCAACCGGAAAATAAACGCCAATTCGCTATGTGGGTGTTTCACGATGAGAAAAAACCAACAAAAGTGATACTTTCTCGAAGTGTGTTAAATAAAATGGTTGCAACTTTTGTGTCAAAGTCTGTGCCTCAAGTAGCAACAATTGCTTCAGCAGATCGAAGAACGATTACTTCTGATTGATATATAACCGTTTGTTTACCAGAAGTTATCACGAAACTCCGATAAAGCAACATACAACGGTGAATTATCCTGCATCAGGACAATGCAAGTGCTCACACTGCCCAAAAGACAATAGAGTTTTTGAAGCTTCAAAATATCGAATTGCTAAACCATCCACCGTACAGCCCTGACCTAGGTCCCAACGACTTCTTCATGTTCCCAAAGATCAAGAATTCAATGCGTTTTGCAATGCAATTTAAAACAGCGATTTTGCCGGTGTCAACTGAAGACTGGAGTAACTGTTTTACCAATTGGTTTAAACGTATGCAAATGTGTATCGATCTTGGTGGGACAAGTACTATAAGTCTATATATTTTTTTGTCTTTGTGGCTATATGAAAAACTAAAAAAACAACCCTCGTACGCCTAAAAAAAATTTACTCGAAGCGATTCGGGAAATTGTTTTTTTGTTATGCAAATGCAAAAAAATTAGTCCGTTTCTAGCGTCTTTTTAGGAATACACCGCTTGCCTATTTTACAATACCTCTGAATGGTTTATAGAGTACTTTCTGGAAGAAGCCGATAACAAATCTATATCAAAATTCGCTTATTCCATTTTTTGGAATGTTGGATAATGCCCAAAAATTCTCATTCCTTATCCAATATTTTATTTATAAAAAACTATCATTTTAACTGTAACTTTAATAAAAAGCAAACATCGCTCAAAGATCAACGTGGAACAAAAAATGAGATAGACAATATTAAACTTTATCTCTAGATTTTAAAACAATGTATGGAGATCTTTAAGCTCACCCGTAGCTTTGACTATTTTATGCTCTATTAAAATAATGAATATGTTTAATGTTACTATGTAAACGAATGTGTTTAATGCTATATAAAGTATAAGCACAGTACTGATTTGGCTGCCTTAATTCACGCACAAAACCAAAGTATAGAATTTTTATAACTTTATTTTTTTTTAAATTTGATTCAATTGTTTATTAATATAGGAAGTGAATAGTCATACTTACTGAGGGAAAACTATCACATGTACTGGGAGACAACTTTCCGGCAATGGCCATAGCTACGGTCTGATTTATGTTACTAGGACCTACGTCTTCGTTTGAAAATTGTGTTTTATCGACTGTAAAATGATGTAACAATGGAAGAACGTCCATGGCTATGGACAATAAGGGTAAGTATAAGGCCGCTACTCTTTGTCTGGCATCAGAAGAACTGTAACGAGGGTCGCTATCGTGCCACAAGAGCAGCTGTTTTAATGTGTCTACTGCTTTTGTATGTAACGACGATTGACTGAAAAATATTAATTATAGTTAAATTAACCATTTAACCATTTATTTAATGTTAATTTATTTAATAAATTTAAGTTAATTATACCGTACCAAAGCAGTACAAAAAATCGCAACCCAGTAATTAAAAAAATTGCTTTTGCAGCCATTCGCATATTCTGCTTATCTGGTACATTTACCAAAATATCGGTAGCCATACATACGCACCTTAAATATTCATTACATTGTCAACTTAAAAGATTTCGAGTTGAACTGAAATTCTGTTGTCTGTATGGTTGTTATAGTAACCACATGCCTGTGTACACTAGTAGCGACCTCTAGATCTAGGCCTAGAGATCCTACTAACGAACATAGGCATATTATGTTATTATAATCGCCATATAGACAACAGCATTTTATTTCAAATCGAGTTCTTACAAATCTCCCTGTGAGAGGTAAACTTCGAAACACTTGTAAGGGAATGGTGGAATTCGAATTGAAGAAAAATGCAATTATCTACTTTAATTTAACCCTAGAAAGTTGTTTGTTTCCCTTGAACAGTCTTTCTTTTTGCAGATGCGACATTTTGCAGGTATCCATTGAAGAACTAGCATAATTCTTTCACAGGATTTGTACTTTCCCTTCTTTGTAATTAACTTAACAACTTAGATAGAAATTGTAAAGATAGAAATTTTTGGATAGATAATCTAGAACAAGTAATGGAAGCGATCTCTGCTACGATAAATCCAGGAGCATTGGAGATGGCAGCAGAATCAAAGTTGAACAATCACTATACGGAATTGATTAGACTGAATGTTGCTGATTGAAGTGGTTCAGGAAAGGAAGATTGGAAAGGGAAGAATTGTAAGAACTCATGAGAAGTTTAAAACCAAACCTTCAGCAGCAAATATTTGCTTCGCATATGTACGAGTAAACTAATAAACTAAAATGATCGTTCATAAAATATAAAAATTGTACTTACTGCATTTCTAGAAGCACTGTTGCTAAATCAGCCAATACAATACCAGATAGGAAATGATGCTGTCGATATTCAAAGGACAGTTCCGCAAATGTACTAGCTCTCTCTTGACTAGGTGGTGCACCCGACAAAAAAGAGTTTTGGCTGGTGGAACTAGTAACACTGGGCGATGGTGACACATTAGTGTCCGTCGACATAAATGGGGAAGCGAATGGTAGATTGAGAGCTATATAATGCTCATGGCTGCAAATAATACGAGCGAACTCAAGTTTTAATTCAACCAGTACTGAGTCTTGAATCGATGCTATTTTTGCCTGAAGTTGCTTGTTATATGATCGTAACAACTGGAAAATCCAACCACGATCAGCTATGGACAAGAGGTCAAAGAAAAAGAAAGCTAAAGCAGCGTTTAGTTTGTGCGCTTTACGCATTTCACTTGTTGAATGCGAGATTATTTCTGCCGTTACTGTATGTACTAAAGTAGATATATCATCTAAGAATTGTTCGGAAAATCGTATCTTTCTTGGAGCATCAAGAGATCTTGTGTGTGCTAAATGTTCTACCATACCTAAAACAGTAAAAGTTATATAGAACAATTATAAGGTGTTTGGTCAATACATTTAATAGAAATGACCCAAAAAACTAAAAGAAGCACCGCAGTATGAACAAATACGGACGAAAAAGGCAAAGAATAAGGACACGGCTATGAAAAGGAGAGTCAAAGGAGAAAATGTAAACAAAAAAGATAATGATAGAGACAAACAAAAAAAGTATAAATTAAGAGAAAACCAACTAAAAATAGCCACTTGGAAAAAACTATAAGCATTTCAATTTTGTCATCAATGTAACAAGGATTAAACATTAGATACTTACAAAAAATATAAAAAATCTCTAAAAAAGTTGTCTTGTTCTCCCGAAAAGTACGATTTTTGACATTCGATAATTGGAAACGGTAGGGACGATGTCTCGTATTAACCATTCAAATTAAAGTTTTAACAGTTTTGTTAATTTTGTGTATCAAACCTATTAATATTTTTCTCAAAATGTAACATAATATGTTACATTTTATGCTATTACAGATGGTTTATTTTACTGAATTATGTTTCTGAATCAGTAAGGAAAACTAATGGCATACATCGGTGTCAGTTGATGGATATTTTCGTTAATGATGCGAATTTTAAAAGGCCAATGTAAATAATTAAATGTCAAAATCAATCATTAATATATCAAACTAATCTCATTTGCATGCCAAAACTTTCTATGGTATTAATATCATTAAAGACACAAAATTTATAGTTGTTATATCATATTTTAGTTTTTACAGTGTTGCCATATTTCAAATCTCAAGCAGTAATCCTCGTACACTCTTAATATTTCTTAAATCACAAAGTCAAGTTCGTCTTCAAAATCATTTATAACACATATAAATCAGAAATGTAAAAGACGTGTAAAAAGTAGGTAAGTTCTACAGGACGACTTTAAAAAAAAATTGCCATATAAATGTTACATAAACAATCTCCATCGTAAGAAAAAAAATGATAAATAAATTTTGTAGTTCAGTCTTACTTACTTTTAATAACAAGTTCAAACAAAAACCAAGCATTTTGCATAGCCAAATCTTTAGACCTTCCACTGGACACGACCCATTGTAACGCCAATTCTTGATGGACAATTCTTTGGCATGAACTGGAATTAGGACTTAGAAGTTCGTTAGTAGGTACTCTCATACTAGCTGCTCTGTCTAATCCTCTAGAATATTGAACATGGGCTACCTCTAAATCCGGATTTGACGTACTTCGAGTCATGGAAAAACTATTTTCGTAGTCTGGAGAGTTTTGATTGTAGAGAGGATGCGGCATATTACATTGGTATTGAATATATGTTGCTAGCAGTTGATTGCGGCCGTGTTGATCGACTGGCAATTCTTGGACATTCTGAAATATAATAATTAAAATTATAAATCTTATTTCCTATATAATTTATAAAGTTTATAATTAGTTATTATAAAATTTATATTTAATGCATGTTCTCGTGAATACTCTCTCTAGAGAGATCCACCGTTTTAGGCTCCCGCCTCTTCGAGAAATAGCGTTTTTATTTATTTATTTATTTATTTCAACGGTAGAACCATTTACAATAAAACACAACAAATAGTAAAAAGTAAAGATCATGTACAATAAACTTCAAAAAAATAACAAAGAAACAAGTAAACAGTTAAAATTTGTACATTAAAACAGTATATCAAATCACAAAAATAAAAAAAAAAGTATCAGTATCATATTGTTTTTTTATATATTTGTATTTTTTTTGGTACTTATTTTAATGTTTTAAAGTTAGGACGAGAATTAAGGCGGCTATACACATGCCAGTAAATTGGGAAAGTAGCTGGCATGCCAGTAGCTCGCCTGCCTTTAACTGGCAAGGCGAAAAAGCAGGTAGATTTTTACACATGCCAGTGTTAGTAAACAATCGAGTGGTTTTCATTTGAAGCTAAAGTACTTGTTTTTTAATTAAAAGATTTTGAGTTTCCAACAAAAAAAGGGGATCCATGGAAGGTCTTCGGAATGAATTCAACAAGCAAATATTGTTGATGACTACAGATAATGTTAGAAATTGAATAATGAATCCGAAGCGGAACTCAAAAAAGAGAAAAAAAAAATGGGTGAGAAATTGGATTGGTAGGCAAGAAAATCTTGGAGCAATGTTTTATATTGGCCTTTATCTCCTTTACAGTAATAATTCCCTCTTCAATTTTTGTGTAACATTGTCACGGGCTACTTTATTTTTATGTAGAGATGATTTAGAATTCAAAAGACACTCCAATTCTCTATATAAAACAATAAATGTGATGGTTTATTTATCACCCCAACGAAAACAATGGATGTTTCGGATTATGTAAATTACCCAAACAATAGCTTTCACGGGGTTGGCTGTCGCGGGTTTGACGACTGCGGTTGACAGGTGAGGGAGGAGTTACGTTTGTTAACTATGATTGGCGCTTGGGTAAGGAGCTGCTTGGAGTTGTTTGTGGGGCACTTCTTCGACAGTTTGGTGGTTTCTTTTTAACACATTATTTTATAAACAATCCTTTTTCAGATATTATTCGCCTTTTTTTTCAAACGTGGAGGATAGCTGTGGCCATAACCTAGGATCAGGTATTATGGTGCAATGAGATTGGGAACCACAGAAACCAATCTCGCCCTATCCTTTTTAGTTTATTACGCGGTACTCGTAGGGAGTTACAGTTATGTCGAGGACATCATAGTAGTAGTCAGGAAGATCCTCTCCTACTGCATTTAGTAGGATGGATGGGGGATAAGGTACTTTATTTTTAGGGTTTCTGACTGTTATGTGTCCTCTGGGGTGGTAGGACATCTTGAGAACTCTCTGGGCCTGGTGTTGCGACCCTGGATAGTCCGCAAGACGTATCTCTTGCCTAAGGATTGTATTCGTGAGGTTATTTTAGGGATATCGGCTGTGGTGTGTATTAGCTCTGAGGGTTATATTTAATAGCATTGAGCTAGAAGAACGGGGTCTATGGAACTATTGACACTAGAAGGAAAAGTAGAAGGCCGAAGATAAAGAGGAAGATCTTCAACACGATGGGCAGAACAAATGAAGATTCTGGCAGGAAAATCCCTACATGAAGCCGTCCATATGGCACAGGTTCGCAGCCAATGGAGACAGCAAGCTAATAATATTTAGAGTGTCACCACACTCTGGCAAGGGCTCAAGGAATGAGCAGGAGGATCCAAGAGGCGTCAAGAGACCAAGAAGACCTCCAAAATGATACTATGACTATGAAGGAAACAAGCCGCTGCAACATTTCACAGAAAGGCGACATATTAGACAATCGTGGGCAGAAATGAAGAACGACTATGTAAGGAAGGCTGTACCATAATCGGTAGAATACGCTGAGAATCATGATGATGATGATGATATATACATTTAATGTATTTACGGAAAGTGAATAGGAAAGAAACAAAATGCAGCAACACCATGGAAAAGAATCCACGACTTCACACCATTAGTATAAAGGTCGTGGCATATTATCATGCACGTTGCGTTTCCAGCCCGTAGCGTTTAGTTACCGAAGAATATAATTTAAATGGTTTTAAGTATGAACAACTCACACTGTCAGGAACGTATCGTATCAGACACCTTACGTATCCATTCGGTATATTTGAAAACAATATTTTACGGATGCCGTCCGCTACGGAACGAGTCGAAACCTGTTGGTACGGATAATGTGAATTAGGAGTCCGTCGTTTTCCCCTCGTTGTATTTAGGTATTTGTTTGACTTTGATACAGATTATTTAAAAAAAAATAATTTTCGAGGCTATTTTGTCATTTATGCATGTGATTTTATTGTTTTGTGACAATTAAACACGGAAGTGATAAACAATTGGGACTTCTGCACGGAAGTGATACTCTCTTCTTTTTTAAAAATACTCTTTGGTTTAATATTTACAGTTTAATAGTACAAGTTAAAATGGACTTCGAAAAATTAATTGAACTCGTACGCGGTGAAAAAATTTTATATAAATACAATAATAAATGCTATTATGATGCAAATAAAAAAGAAAATATTTGGAAAAGCGAGAACACATCTTCACGGCACCAAACTGAAACGTTCTATATATGAAAACTGAACGCAGTCCGATTGCTGAACTGGAAACGCTACGTGTTGGAAGCCATGCGTGCATGATAATATGCCGCGACCTTTAGAGAACAAATAAAGTGTATACAATCGCCAACTTTTTTCAATTTAAAATTTACGTTCGGTAGCAAACTTACTGAGTGAAAACTTACTGAGTCAAAGTTCGAATACGAGGTCGACCGAGCATGGGAATTTTTTTATTAAAAAAAATACATTTTCATCTTTATCGTATCAACACTATCCCGCCGTCGCGCGTCGATCGGATATAATAAGCTACTCTGGAACGATAACCAAGCAGTTTGTACTTAGTAAAGTTGCAGTGTTTCTGTTTCTGTTTCTAGGACTTTCTGTTTAACTAACCGAACTGAACGCGGAATGGAAAATGAATCCGCGGCGGAATGTTTGATCGCTGACAGTTGCGGAGGTGGCTTATTAAAAACATTGATCTCTACTACAAAGAGAAAAGTCCGTTTGTTCGCTAATACTATTAGAGAAGGATAAACTATTGACTAATGTTGCAATTAAAAAAAAAGAAAGAAAAAAGTATATGAATTATTTTTAAATAGGCACGCGGAAGGAACATTAAGTTCCTACTGATTTCAGAAAATTTTGGAAGTACCTATTTTAGGTTAAATAAAGATTTGTTCAAAATAGTCCTATTCTGTATAGAATGTGATTTATAGATACATTTTTCTCAAACATTAAATCATTCTGTGCACATTAGTCATTTCCATCTTAAAGGTGTTAGTATAAGAGATTTTTTAAATTTTAAAGAACTTAAATGTGTGGTTATTATACAAAATATTAATTATTCAGTAATAAGCAGACGTCAAATTTCATTAACCTATATATAGTAATAACATGTTATAAGAAGTATTCACTTCTGTCGGCACTCCCCAAGCGCCTTTTTTTTTTTAATTTAACGAGTGACTGAAGATGGCAATTGAATCTATCTCCCGTCGCATGCGACGGGCAAAATCACTAGTTAAAACATAAACAAATATATAAAATAATATAAATGAATATAAAAATAATATAAATGAATATAAAATAAAATAAATGAATATAAACTCATGGACAAAAATATCGAATATTTTGAAATTTATTAATTCTTTTTGTGTAGTCACAATTGTTTTAAAATAATTTTAGATTACTGATTTTACTCCTATAGTAGGCTGATATACTCAATTGGTTAAAGCATTTTGACGTTTATTCAGCGTTTAGTGTCATTCGTGTATTTTATCATAAAAAATCTTTCATGTAAAGGAAAAAAAGGTAACAAATCATAGTAATTCGGTTATTTTTAGTTTAATCTATTAAGTTTAATTAAATATTGATTTGATTCAACTAAGTTTAAAACAAATATGCCACCAATTCGACACTGCGATGAAGCCCAAGCAGCACAGCTTGTTGTAATTTTGTACGAGGTAGAAAAAATATCGCACGGCGTCTCAGAAGAAGTCAATCTACAGTTTCGAATATTTTAAAAAGGTACCATAAGACAGGCAATTTTGTACGAAGACCCGGTCAAGGACGTCCAAGGTGCAAAACCGCAATTAATGACCATTTTTTGGTTCTCAATTCTACAATAAATCGCTCATTGACATCTAAACACCTCATAAATGAGCTATTAAATGTCAGACAAGTTAATGTGAGCTAATCCTGCTAAAGTTCCAAGTCTTTTTAAAAATCATAAAGCTCGTCGTTTAGAATTTGCAAGAAGACATATTTACTGGAATATCGACAACTCGAAAAATGTTCTTTTCACTGATGAGACCAGAATCCTGTTATATAAGCCAGATGGTAGAAACTACGTCTACAGAAGAGTTGGAGAACGATTGGCCACCTGCAATCTTACTCAGACCGTTAGTTTTGGAGGTGGTGGCATAATTGTTTGGGGAGGTATTAGTTGGAAGGGACGCACCGCATTTGTGGAAGCGATTGGACGAATGACTGGTGACACTTACGTTCAAAATATCGTGCAAGATCATGTTTTGACATATGTTACACTGGATATGGTAGATTGATGTTAATGCACGATAATGATCGACCACATGCTGCTGCCATAGTCAGTAATTATATTGAGATCCAAAGTCAAAGATTGGATTGGCCACTATTTAGTCCGGATTTAAATCCAATAGAGCAAATGTGGGATCAGTTAAAACGCCGCATACGACAAAGAAATCCCGTTCCAAATACGATAGAGCAGCTTCGGCTTGCTGCACAGTATGAATGGAATTGTATTTCCGAAGTGTATGTCCAAAATTTACTTGCAAGCATGCCAAGAAGGATGCAAGCAGCAATAAAAGCTAGAGTGGGAAATACTCTTTACTGAACATGCACTTGTTTCAATTACAAAGACTTATTTTAACAATTTATGTTAGCATTTAAGTTTTGAGTAAAAAAACCTCATTTACCTAGCATTTTTTTTCGCAATTTTCTTCGCATAAAAATTTACTTTCAACAAAAAAAAAGTAGAAAATTCCAAAATATTCGATATTTTTGTCCATGAGTGTATATTTTAGTGATTTCTTCTCGTTAGTTAATTCTCGTATTAACATGTCGATATATTTAAGATAGCGAAATATTTTTTAGACTATTTTACTTCTATAGTTATTAAATGTACCATTTATTCGTCGAATTTTTTGGCGTCGCATGGCTACTAAAATTGCGAAACTTAAATGATACTATGCATGATTGAGCATGAAGTTTTTGAAGAGATGGTGTACTTTGAAATACGTGTATGAAAAAGTATACATAATTTAAAATCTACTTACAGAAATTTTATCAAGTAAAGAACAAATGGCTTCAAAGCATGTATGTCCAACATTCAGTGTGTGTCCAGAAAGACGAGGAGGCTGTACTAATAGTTCGATAATATTATCAAAAATTATTGGTAGGTATTTAACAATCGTTTCTGGCTTCGCTCCCGACAATCCTAGCATGGCAGCTCTAAAACATAAATACACAAATATAATTACGAAATATTTATAAAGCGTGTTGTTGAATGAATCAATGATTAAAAATATATATAGCAGCGCTAGAAATCATTGACGCCCTTGGTTTATAGGATACTGATCTTCAATGAGTCATGAAAACCTATTACTTATCGACCGTCTCAAATCAACTGAAGTTACTCATGGAGTTAGCGAACTGAGCTACGGACTGACAATTAACGAGTAATACACTTATCAATTTATTCAAACTAAGCTTAGGTAGTATCCAGAAATCGATTTTAATGTTATTTTATAAAAATGAAGTTACTGTTTATGTGTTTGTCTCCTATTTTTGACCATAAAGGTCCAACTAAAATTTTGACAAACTACTCTTATTTTAATTTATAACCTTGATATATCCTTGAACACTATGTATGATAATATATACTATCAACTACAAGACACAGTATCGATTCGAACTTCGGACAATTAGGACGTTAATAATTAGCTCCGTTGTAAACAGAACCAACCGGTTTTCGACGTATTTAGGTTTTTAGTTTAGGTGTTTGTAAATAAACATATACATTTAAAGTTATACAATTGTTTTAAAAGACTCCCCTAATGGGGGAGTCTAGTGATCCTAGAACTTGTGCGGGTGTTTTTTTAAAAAACAAAGAGATTAGTGCAGTTGAAAATCAAATTCATATTAGTAATGTAGAAATGGACACGGATATAAACTCATTAAAAGGCAATCAAAACATGGGCGAAAAAACTTCTGATAAACCACACACAAACGAAACTCGTCTGTTCAATGTTTTGTCAGATAAGTATAATTTTAATATTATTCATGTTTATATAGAAAGTATAAACAATGACAATCTAGGACGTTTACATCCCTTATCAATTGGCCATATCTTACATAAAAAATTAAAAGTGCCAAATATAATTGAAATTAAGAGCATTGGTAGAAATAGAATTAAAGTTATATTAAAAAATTTAAAGGATGCAAACGACTTAGTACAAAATTGTAATTTAAAAAATGAGAATCTAAGAGCTTATATACCAAATCATCTTTTGGAAGTAAAGGGTGTTATACGAGGTGTGGATACACAGTTTGATATGGATTACTTGTGTGAAAACATTGAATCGACAGCAAAAGTACTACAAATTAGGAGAATGCACCGCAGAGTAGAAGAAAATAATGAGATAAAATATAAACCTAAACAAATGATTATTGTCACATTCGAAGGAAATATTTTACCTGGACAAATATCTATTAACAGAGTCTTTTTTCCAGTTGAACAATTTGTTGGTCGTGTAACACAATGTTACAATTGTTTGAAGTTTGGGCATGTATCCAAACAATGTAAAAGTACTTCCTCTGCTTGCATTAACTGTGGTTCAGAAAAAAATCAAAATCACAAATGTGAACAAAAAGATAAATTCTGCATACATTGTAATACCAGTGGACACGTATCTATAGATAAAAAATGCCCTTATTATGACACTCAAAAGAAAATTAAAAACATTATGTTTAGTTATAAAGTTTCATACACTGAAGCAAAATCTTTTAGTGAATCTTCTTTTGCCGGCTTTGCAGGGAATAACAAATTCTCACTTCTGACTAACCTTGATGAAAATTTTCCTTCTTTAACTGCAAATCAACAATCTTCTTCATCCGAACCTATTTGGCCAAGAAAATATCGTGTACAAAATAATATGTCTCTAAGTCAACCTAGTACATCTAGGAATATAGATAATTTTGAAAGCACTAGAAAGAAACGTAAAGCAGGATCTCCTATCACGTTATCTCCCACTCAACCTCCTTTATTTCCTTTTCAATTCGGTCCATCTAAATCACTGTCATCCAATCCACATAAAACAAATACTGATGATATCGAATTTATTAAAAATAACTTGTTTAAATCTTTATTTACATATTTTGATAATTTTTTTAATAAAATACAAACTATCGATGATATAAAAAATATAAATAACGAAACTCTTAAGCATGATATTAGCCTAGTATTGGAGGGTACTTTTGCAAATAAATAATTTTCTTGAAGATTATGCAATGGAATGCACGTTCTGTAATATCTAATAAAAATTCTTTTGTTCAATTTTTATCACAAGAAAGTGTAGATATTGTTTTATTGAGCGAAACTTGGTTTAAAAAAAATGTAGCATACAGCTTTAAAGGTTATAACCTCATTCGGAAAGATCGTGATGATGGCTATAGTGGAGTAGCCATTCTAGTTAAAAATACTCTCAATTTTAAAGAAATAAATATCCTTAGCAATTTTAATGATGAAATTCTAGTTTGTGGATGTGCAGTAAATTATGGAAAAAATTCGATTAACTTTTTATCAATTTATCGAGCACCAAAAACTAAAACTAAAACAGATGATTGGGTTAAAGTTTTTTCTCAAGTAAAAGCTCCCCTTATAATAGGTGGAGACATGAATGCACATAATGTATTATGGGGATCTAAAAAAAATGATAATATTGGAAAGCAACTAGAGATGGTAGCAGATGATCTAGAGTTAGTAATATTGAACACTGGTGGACCTACATGTTTAAATCGGCCTGGTGTTAATGATTCTATGTTAGACGTTACTTTTAGTTCTTCAGATATTGCAAAAAAAATTACATGGACTGTTTTCTTAGATACACTTGGTTCGAACCATTACCCTATTTTAATAACAGTTGCTAACGCCTCCCATTCAAATGAAAAAATTTTACCTAAAAGTAAATGGAATATTAAAAAAGCAAACTGGAAACTGCATACAGATGTTGTAGACTCTCTCTTTGAGAATAATATGGAATTTGAAAACACTGGCGAAAAGTATTGCTTTCTTATTAATAGCATAAATGAGGCTGCAGAAAAGGCAATACCTGCTTTTAAACCTTTCACTAGTAAAAATCATCTTCCGCCTCCTTGGTGGGATAATGAATGTAGTAATGTTGTGAATAACAGAAGACAAGCTATTAAATTATATAAGAAATCTCCTACAATGGCCAATTATATACAATGCCAAAAATTTGTATCAGAAGCCAAAATATTTCTAAAAAATAAAGCTAAAAAGAGCTGGATTGATTGGTGCTCAAAGTTGAATAAAAATATACCATCAGCAAGCTTATGGAATCAAGCTAGAAAATTAAACAGAAAACCAATTTCTTCTATAAAATGTTTTGACGATTCCTTAGAAGAACAATTTTTTGATCAAATTGCTCCACCGTCTGTAAAAAATTGCAAAACTTTTGACTATTCTTTCAATAAGCAATATCATTTTTTGTTGGAATCTTTTAATACCTTAGAATTGGAATTTGCCTTAAAAAATCGAAATAGTACTAGTCCAGGTTTAGATAATATTAAATATCCAATGTTACTATATCTTCCCAAAAGTGCCAAAACTTTACTATTGGAAATATTTAATGATATAATCATGAATAATTCAGTAATAGCTCAATTTCAAGATGTAATCATTATCCCCATACTCAAACAAGGAAAAGATCCTAATTCCGTTCACTCATATAGACCTATCTCACTTATGTCTTGTGTACTGAAAACTTTGGAACGGATGATTAAACATAGATTGGAATGGTGGATAGATAAAAAGAAGTTACTTCCAGATTTGCAGTTTGGGTATAGAAAAGGCTGTGGTACCATAGATGCACTTGCCACATTGGTAACGGACATTCAGAATTCCTTCTCAAGTAATATTTATTTACCGACAATAGTATTAGATATAGAAGGAGCATATGATAGTGTTTGTCTCGATATTTTAATGGAAAAATTAATAAAAAATTTTCATATACCACCACAATTGGTAAACACTATTCTTAACTTTTATTCCTGCAGAAAAATTTACCTGAGAACAAACAATAATAAACTTATAGGTCCTCGTTATAATAAACAGGGACTACCGCAGGGATCAGTTTTAAGCCCTCTATTGTTTAATATCTATACTGCAGACTTACATAACATTTTCATTAAAAATATCAACTTTAAAATAATACAGTATGCTGATGACTTTCTTATGTATTCTTCTACCAAAAAATACGATAACTGCATTCAAACTTTAGAAAAAATACATAATAGATCCAAAAATTGGTTCAAACTAAATGGGTTTGAAATTGCATCAGGTAAATCAAGTATTAGTATCTTCACTCGACACAATATCCCAAAACTAAATCAGGTAAAATTGAATGGGTATGATTTTAATTTCAGTTCTTCAATTAAATATTTGGGAATGATTCTCGATCGTAAGTTAACTTGGAAACTTCACGTTGAGTTTATGTTAGATAGATGTAAGAAGGGTCTAAATTTCCTCAAATCAATTACAAAAACATGGTGGGGTGCAGATGTGGAAACTTCTTTGCTTTTTTTCCGATCTTATATTAGATCAATTATCGATTATGGATGCATATTATATGGTTCAGCAAGTAAACATATTCTGAAAACAATAGATGTGTTTCAAAACGCAGCATTGCGTATTTGTTTAGGTGCCATGAAATCGACTCCAATTAATGCTCTACATGTGGAAGCTCTGGAAAATCCCTTGGGCTATAGAAGAGAATACCTCAGTCAAAAGTTTGTTATTAATATACAAAATCGTAACACTACTCTCTACTCAAATATCAGAAAATTGAACGAAGAAGATTTAACTAATCGATATTGGAGACTTAAGAACTCACCTCCACTTTGTGAGGCTTTTAGAAGCCTGACAAATTTTGATTACAACTTTAAATCAGAGGATAATCTTAGCATCGAACATTTTTATTCGTGCTTGCAACCCATTACTGTGATACAACCAAATTACCATGTAAATTCTTCTGTTAGCTCGAATATTTTGAGGTCCTATTTATCTAGTCTGTCAGACTCTTTAGTTATTTATACGGATGCCTCAAAGTCTATTGTTGGTACTGGATGTGCTTTCTACATTCCATCAACTAATACAGAAAAACTTTATCGATTAAATCCTAGTTTTTGAATCTTTAGTGCTGAAGCTGTAGCAATATATGAAGCATTAAGATACTTTGAAAACACTCAGAATACATCTGTTACAATAGTATCTGACTCATTGTCTGTTATGTTAGCCATTGAAACTTTAAATTTTCCTAGTAATAACTCAAATATATATGTCTTTCAAATTAAAAAACTTGTTTATGACATTTATAAAAACCGAAGAGTTGTTCATTTTTTGTGGGTTAAAGCACATATAGGTCTTAAATACAACGAACATGTTGACCTATTAGCTAAAAAGGCCATTGATACCGGAACGCAAGCTAGTCACCAAATCTGTAGACAAGACGCATTAACAATAATTAAAAATAATATCAATAGTAAATGGAAACAATCTTGGCATACATATAGTACGCATTCTTCCTCGCAATATGCTTCTATACAGCCTTCAATCCCAAGTGATTATTGGTTCAAAAATTATTTTGTTCCACGAAGGTATATAACATCCATAATTAGAATAAAATTTGGACACGCCTGCTATCCTAGTCATCTGTCCAAGCTAAAAATCGTAAATTCAAATTTATGTCCAGACTGTCAAAAAGAAGGGGATATAAATCACATTTTCTTCGAATGTAAAAAATACACAAAACAAACTGAAGATCTAATAAAAAATTTAGTTAACATCAAAATTTTTCCTCCGTACAATATGTGCTATCTGCTATCTCTAAATATAAGAGTTGTAAATGAATGTTTGATGGATTTTATTTGCAAAAGTAAGCTCAATATTTAACTGTAATTAGAATCCTAACCTCTGTTTTACCCCATTTGTTATTACCTTTTATCCGTGACCTAATCTAGTTTGTCTTAAAAGCAATGTCTTGATGGGTCCCTAGACGAGAAACGAGTGTCCATGTTTTATCCCTATCCTATCCTTAATAATAATTTTAATGCTTAAAATTTGTAAGGATACTTAAGTTTGAATTTTATATTATCTTTTTATATTGTACTACTCAATTTTTTTTCTGGGTAGAATATTTTCATGTTGTGGCTGGCTGTATGCCTATGCCATTAAAAAAAAAAAAAAAAAAAAAAAAAAAAAAAAAAAAAAAAAAAAAAAAAAAAAAAAAAAATACAAGACAGTTAAAATAAAACAATTCTAATTATTCGACGGAAAACATTGGAGAGGAAGAATAAGAAGAATTTTTTGGAAAAGTTCTTCTTGCAACAGGCGAGACACTACTTGTCTCTCCCACTTTGTTGTGAGACCTGTGTATCAAACCCTGCCCTTTCATTAAGCTTATCCAAGAAGTCCTGTACGCTCAATAAAAGCCAACAACTTTAAACTATCGGATGGGGAGTTTTAAGAATGATTTCTCCTGACTCAATAGTTGTCCGGCGTATTTATGTCACATGTCACTAAGAATTGTACATGCACATAGGATATGTATGGTGTTTTTTGCTTCCTTTGGTATTTCTTTCACCAGGGTTGAAGAGGTAAAAGTAGCCTACTACTTGTAGGCTAAAATTCATTTGACTAGACAAGAGCCTCGAAATATTGTTAATGGTTTTATTCATATTGGTTTGTTCCCAAAGGGTTTCTTATATATTGTTATGACTTTTTTACAGTCTCTTTGAATTGCATTTCTGAAAATATATTTCGTGATGCCAAGGAATGGTTCTTGAACCTAAAAGATTCTTCAATAGCCTTGCTTTGCCAGAGAGTCTGCTAGTTCGTTCCCTTGAACAAAATACATACCCATCTTACATATACTTTATTGTCTCGTATCAGTTTATTAAGAATTTCCTTACAGTTTTCTCAGTTCAACTTTCTCACCAACCTAAGTGAATATTTATTTTACAAGACGCAACTACGCAGAGGTTTCAATGTCATAATATGTTATGTTATGGCCTCCTGAATATAGGAAACTACTTGTTCTCCATATAGTATAAATTCTCCAGAAATGTGGCTTCCTCAACTATGATGCCAGTGATGTTTGTATGACAATTAAACATATCATTGGGCCCCCATGTACTGCTAGCCTTTAGTCGGAGACTGATCAAAAATGCCACCGTCGAAACGTGTAATTACAGCAAGGGGAGTTTCAAACCTTAATTTTTGCCACTTTTGTAGTTCCAGAAGGGTTGTCAAGCTCTATTGGCATCATTATTAATATGTGTGTTAAAAAGGAGCTTCGAATGATAGGTCACCATTATATATTTAGCCTCACTGGTTGTAACTATATCATTTAAAAATGATCTCACCTAAACCGGTAAGCTTCCACTTATTTATATAGGCAAAGAGAAGCGCTTATGCAAATTGGCAGAAAACAAATAATTGATCGCCCTGCCACTCAATCGAGCCGGATAACCGCAGCTAATTACTTTAATGGGCTTTTCCCGAAACCACGTTTTTTCAAATAAGTGTCACTCATATTTGGAAACTATTGCACTTATCAAGATCAACGGCATTTTACTGTTTAGATGTCTCTCTATAATCAGTACTATGTATAACCAAAAATATTCATTGATATTTAAAAAAGTTAATAAACAAATTAAAAGTTTAAAAAAGGTCTATTTTGTTATTTGCTTTCGGATGATTCGTTTCCAAGAAATGATGACACTCACCAAAAATTTGGACGAGACTGGGCAGCCATTTTTAGAACCGCAATTTTGAAAAAAGAAAGAAATATTTTTCAAGTAGTTTAATGTATATACTTTCGCCTATAAAAAGCTTGGGTAACCTGACCTTAAATGTGATCTGATTATATTCCGGACGACTGTCACTTAAGTTCTTTAAGAGATTTCTGAAAATAGTTTAAGAATAAGATTCTCACTCTCACATATAAAATGCCTAATCAAACTAAATTGTGTAAATTATAATTTACGAAAACTAATTAAACAATCAATAAATGCTTACCTCAACTCATTTTCCGATCCAACTTCTCCCAACCTTTGCGGAATGATTCCAGTGTGAACAAAATCATAAGCTGCAAAAAATCTTTCGATCGGTGGATCGTGGGTATGTACTGAAGAAGCAGTGTCCAGAGTAACCGTAAACAAACCCTTATGGTTATCCAACCACTTTGTGCCAGGTAGGCACACGTCGGGAGGAATATAACTGTAGTTTCTCGGTGGGGGTTCTAACATTACTGGTAAACAAAACTCTCCTGATATTAATCGACCGTCTCTCAATAGAGGCAACCACTGAAAAAATAATGTCTTAAATATATTATGTTAAAAAAAATACAAATGTTCGAAAGTCTACGTAATTACGATTAGAGGTTACTATTGGTAAATTAAAAACTTCTTTCAAAGGGATATTTTTGTAGTAAAAAAAGAGGCTAATTAAATTATAACACCAGCGTGAGATCAAATATGGTCGAATATAGGAACGAATATATACGTTCATAAAAGGTTAACGCTTTTGGACACGATATCCTCCATTAAAATAAAAAATGTTTGTAACTGGTCGATAGAAAGAACTCATTCTCAAAATAAAAACTAGTCAAATCATTTTGTTTTATTACTTGGTACTATAAAAACCATTTAATAATTTTATGTGCCAGAAAATCCCCCAGATCCTACTACTTTCTGCCGAGGAATTGGCGACACAGTTGTTTTCATTTAACGTAATAAGATCAGCTTCTTTGATTTTTTCCTTTTTACCATCTGTTCTTTTGACGGCCTAAATGACCGAAATGCGGTCAGAGACTCTTACAGATTTGTATAAGATGGTTCCATTCGTATTAATATGAGACTCTTCTGGATTCTGACTAAGCTAGCTGCTTATGTGAGTGTAAGTTCAGTTAGTTAAACAAGATAAAGCGGTATTTGGAATTCCACCAGCCAGAATATATATATATTAACTCATCACATGTAGCTTTGAATTTTTTTTTAATTCGGAAGTCGCACTTATAAGCTCCCACTATTCGTTCGACGTAGGGGAGCCTTATTTTGTACAATACGTTGGACAGTAATTTGTATGCTTATGTTACGAAAAATATGACTAACAAGTATTTTTTAGTAGGTAATGTCCACGGGTTCCCTCCGCTAAAACCTGTCTGGCTTTAATGGCATTCGAGAAGGTTCAGGAAAGGTCACCGGCTGATTCTAGGGAACTCCAGATAACGGTTATTAATATATATATATATATATATATATATATATATATATATATATAAGAAAAAAAAGAAGTACTTGTGACTCGTTTGGAAAAAATATAAAACTGTTTTGGATAGATTGGAGTCAATAAAAGGGGCTATTTGTTAACTATTTTTTACTTGAGCTTTCAATTGCGATTACAATTATTATCAAGAGCTTCTAAAAAGTACAAAATATCTTACAAAGTTGAACTAGAAATAAAAAAATTTTTGTTAACTCACCAAATAAAATTAGTTTTTTTATATAAAACTGCTGCTAACATATTATTACAAAAAATATTATTAAAAAAATGTCCTATTCTAATAAATGTTTCTCTGAAATAAATTTTGATAAAGTTTCTTAACAAAAAACAATTGAATTTGTAAACAAAAATTGAATAGCTACGAATTAGCCTCAATGTCATAAATACCAACTTAAAAATAAATAAAATTTTGTTTAAAAAAATTCTTTTTTCTTTAGTAACAAAAAAGAAGAAGATTTATTCACCATTGATAGATGCCTGAAAAATGTAACAAATACATGGATAATTCAAAATGTGATATTTTACTGATTGCATATATAAATTACATAGAAATAATATAATTATAAATTTTGCTTAGATTTTGAATTTCTGACCTTTTGTTTAAATTATTATCACTTTTGCTAATACAAACCATTTCCAAAAAAGTTCTTTTAAATTTATTACTTTCACTACATAAAATTTTAATATTATCAAAATCCATAATATGGTCTTTGTCTATTACATGCTCTGCCAAAGCACAAGATGGTTTCTTAATTCTGCAATCACTTTTGTGAGAAATAATGCAATTTGGGAGATATCTTCCAGTCTCACCAACATACTCAGCTTCACACTGAGTACAACCAATGCTGTATACTATATTTGTTTGATCTAATTTGTCTATAGGATATTTAGTTTTGGAATATAAAGATGAAATGGTTTTGATGTTCTTTGTTGCTATTTTTATATTGTCAATAACCTTTAGTGTTTGTTTTAATTTAGGAGTTAATGATGGTATAAAAGGTAGTGAATGATAATATATTGTTACGATTTTAAATGTTATGGCATATAGAACTGTAAATATTTTATGACTAATTCTTTTATTGATTCTCGTAATTTCTAGGTCAAAAATCTACCTGAATCGAATGTTCTGGGGGCGACAAGCCGATAAAGAACATGTTTTGAGACCAGTCGCCGCTGTGTCTACATCGAGAACAGCATGGTATTTTCTACACCTTTCTGTTTACCGGCTTGGAATTATATAAATAAGGGAACACTTTCATTAAGGAGTCAGTCATAAGAAGCTCGGCAACCGCGATATTTAAATGTAACGAAACATAAATTATTATTTGTAATATAAATTAGAATTAATAAAGACTTTAATAAATTCGTAATTAGTTATCGTGAGTTTTAATAAATTAGATTATAGACAATAAATTAGAATAAAGACAAATAAATTAGAACTATACAAACTCCACAGTGGTGCAGAAGTGGGATCGTAGATAAATTTAATTTGATTTTTGAAAAAGACTTTTGAACTTTTGAAAGGTATTGTTCGTCGGGAACATCCGCGTAGTTCAGTAATGATCGTTGTACGAAAGAACATTTCAAAAGTACGTGTGTGCCTGACCAAAGATGCTGCTAGTAGAACTTTCAGTGAAACAGTTGCGTGAGCAACTAGAAGAACGCGATGAAGACTGCAGCGGGTCCAAGAAGATCCTCCAAGAACGACTGAAGACTGTTCTCAACAAGAATGGAGACGACCCAGAGACATTCCAGTTCCAGTCAGCAGAAGAAGCCGTTTTAACTAAAATAATCGATGGAAAATTTGAGAATGTCTCACAAATGATCGAAGAGAGTTCTAGAAAAAATGATGAGAATGTTTCCAAAACATTCAATGAAACGTCTCAAATTATTAAAGAAGTAGCTAGACAAAACGACGAGAAACTCGAAAATGTGTCAAAAAGATTCGACGAGAAATTTGAAAATGTTTCTCAAATGATGGAAGAAACTTCGAAAAAGAATAATGAGAAATTTGAAGTAGTTTCCAAAACATTTGAAAAAGTAGAAGAGAAAATCAAACAGTTAGAGACCATGATAACTAACACGAGAGTGCTACCACCAATTAATACGGTAGCTTTAGATCCGGTAGAGATAAAAGAAGACGAGACAAAATGTAAGTTGGAAACACGGCCGAAATTTGAAGGAAGTGGAAGTTCCGTTCATGTCAAAGTCCCAACTTTCGACGGAAAATCATCATGGAACAACTACATGAAACAGTTCGAATCAGCTGCAAGAGCGAATGGATGGTCTGAAAAAGAAAAGGCTGTAAACCTGACTATCGCTCTTCGAGGAGATGCCTTAGATGTGCTCCAGACCATAGCCGTAGAGGAGACGAATGATTTCGAACAACTCAAGAAGAGGTTAAATATGCGATATGGCCACGAACACTTGGAGCATGTATATCAGTCGCAGCTTAAAAATCGAAGACAAAAGAAAGATGAGGCTCTTCAAGAATATGAAGTAGATATCGCCAGATTAGTGCGATATGCTTATCCAACAGCTCCCGAAGACATGATGGAAAAGTTGGCCGTTCAAACGTTTATTGATGGTCTTCGTGATCATGAGATGCAAAGAACACTACGATTAGCTCGTCACAAGACGCTGATGGATGTCTTATCTGCCGCCCTCGAATACGAGTCAGCTACGCAGGCCTCTGGCGGGTATAGCAAAGTTAGGACTCTAAAAGAGGAAGGAGATGAAGATAAACTTGACCAGCTCTTTAATATGATGAAAAGCATGACACACAAGAAAACGAAGACCATAAGACCGAAGACAAAACCAGAACGCGTCGGCCTTAGGGGAGCAGCTTCGACCCAGAACTTTACCAAAGACCCTCTGATACTAATAGCTTCTTTGAAATGTCGTGAAGATAGTGTATATGTAGATGGAGAAATAAATGGTAAAAAGCATACGTTGTTGGTGGATACTGGAGCGACCAGAACCATTATACGCCCGACAGTTATAAACAGCCGAAAGAAACTGTTACCAACGAGGTTGCGACTTCGGACCGCCACAGGTGAAAATGCCAACATTCATGGAGAAATCCAGGTACAATTAGGAATTGGAGCAGAAAAGTTCGTCCATACTGTTATAGTTGCTGACATCGAAGAGGATGTTATATTAGGAATGGACGTAATGAATACGCATGGATTCCAATTGGATTTTAAGAATAAGGTAATCAAAGTTGGTAACGAGGAGGTATTTCTCCATCCACATGATGACAACACTATGCAAGCAGCCGTTAAAGAAGATACAGTCGTGCCTGCGAGAAGTGAAACGATAATAGTAGCGCGGCTACAGGGAATTGTGGACGAAGGAACACCTGTTATGATGGAGCCTTGGAATCATGACGACGAAGTTGGCCGTGGAATCATAATTGGAAAAGAATTAGTGACTTCGGCTAAAGAAATTCCTGTGAGACTTATTAATGTCAATGACTACCCAGTGACCATCAAGAAAGAGACAAAAGTAGGAACTTGTGTACCTGTCACATCCATAATCCGTCAGACGACAACGTCTGATAATTCCAACGATAAATTTGATCAAATGGTTGCGGTTGCTGGACAGTCTCTGAATCAGATTGAGAAAAGGAAATTAAGGGAATTTCTTCGGCAGTATCGTGATATTTTCGTACCGAAAGGAGGAAAGACGGGAAGAACTACCGTTGTTAAGCATAAAATTGATACTGGTAATGCTAAGCCAATTCGTCAAACAGCTCGACGATTACCACAGGCGAAAAGAGAGGAAGCTGAAACGATTGTTCAGGAAATGAAGAAAGACGGGGTGATAGAACCTTCTACGAGCCCATGGGTCTCTCCGGTGGTCCTGGTTAAGAAGAAAGACGGAACAACGAGGTTCTGTGTGGATTACCGTTTGCTGAACAACGTTACCAAGAAAGATAGTTATCCTCTGCCTCGGATCGATGACACATTAGACACATTGGCTGGAAGTAAATTATTTTCTACTTTGGACTTGAAGTCTG